CCACTCTCGAACTTTGTCCAAATTTCAAGGAGATCCTCGCATTTACAAAAATTCAGTCACACCCTTTACTTTTTCTGACACACATCAATTTCTCCCCTCGGTCAATGGTCAAAGCTAGTCAGAGACACTTTTTGCCACATTAACAAAAAATTAAATTTTAATGCCTAAATTACCCCTCAACCGTTATGTTTGGCTACAAACTATATATCATCTTTAAATTATATCAAAATCTCTCCTTAACAGTGTCTGACAGGGGTCTGACTGAATTTTTGCAAATGTAAAGGAGTCTCCTTTAAGTTAACCTATTATAATTATTGATTTATTTGTAAGATGATTATATATCTTCACACAAGTCAGAGTCTATTTATTTGTCCATTTTGTTGCCACCCATTAGAACTTATATTTAATTTTGAGTGTTATTATCTTGTGCAAAAGTTCCAACTTCCATTAAACAACTTTGACATTTTATGTATCATATTAGTGATATTCTCATTTCATTTTTCTCCAATTGCAATACATTTATAATTTTTTTTTTATGGAAAATGACAAGAAATTATTTGAATTTATTAATGCACAATTCTTTAATTTATAATATCGTAACTACCTTTTATACAACTTTATTTATTTATTTATTTTACCTTATTTACTTTCTTTACTAATTTTTTTTCTTTCTTTTTGTTTTTTGTGGAGATCCTCTCAAAGAAAATAATTTATGTTATACAAATAATTACTTTTGGCAGTCAAAAGGGATAATTTATTCCATAATGATTTTTTTTTATTTTTTATTTTACAATTGAAATATATATTTATTCAACAAAATTGACTTTTTTTTCTTTCAAGAGAGGTAACTTTATTTTTTGGTAATAGATAATTTTTTAAATGGTTACTTTTTATTTTTTTTATCCGGCCAAAAGAGACAATTTATTCAACATAACAAAAAAAAATTTTGATCCCTTAAAAAAAATTATTCAAATTTTATTCTATTTTTTTTGGGTCAAAAGATGCTTAAAATATCAAAGATTAGAGATAAGGAGAGAAAAAAATGAAAGAATAGCTGTGTCATTTAAAAAGTAATAATTATTTATTGTAAAGGTAAAGTTAAAATTATCATTTCATTTAAGATTATAATGCAAATGTTATATAAATTGTCAATAACAATTTATTTTATTATTATTATTATTATTATTTTCAAAAACAATTTGACAAATATTTAGTTCTAAATGGTACTGGACTCGTATAAAAGTTTCTTACCACACTTTTAACCCTTGACAATTTCATATATTCAAATTATATTTAAGTATTATTTTTTTTTTGGGTAAAACAATTCACTGGTCCAATTGTTGCAGAAGCCAGTTCAACCAGTCTAAGATGGTTATTAATCGGTCCAACTTGTCTAATTCAAATAGGACTTTATAGCAAATACTCGCACTTGAAATCCTTTCAGACCTATTAACAGTTAGTTTCTCCAAGAATAATAGTTTCGATATACATAATAATTAATTTTTGTTATAAATTTAGAAAAAATATAGAGCAAGGAGAAAAATAGAATTCTCTATTATTTTCTTATTAACCTTGACAAAAAAAAAAAAAAAAAAAAAACAAACAAATGACATAATTCAGAACCACCATTTGGGCTCAAATAGTTGTATTAAAAAGAAGTAATAGAAGTATTAAAACAATGTCTGACTTATTTTCTTCCCTATCCTTGTTTAACATATATATATATATAAAGGCGTGATAATCCAGGCGTGATAATCGTCGAACAAGGAATTTTATCCACACCACGTGTAGTATTATAAATCCACCATTCTCCTTTTCTAATCCAACAAAATTGCCATTCTACCTATTTGTTTATTCAAAATTTTCTAAATTAATTTTACCAAAAAAAAAAAAAAAAAAAAAAAAAAACCACATAAACTATCCACTATCAACACAATTTGTAAGTCTGCAAGATCACATATAAAAATTTGATAGTTTAGTTAATTGATAGTTTTATTTTACATTGGAGGGTTGTCCTCTATGTTTATAGGGTAAAAAAATTTGCTGCGTGGACATCAAATAAATTAAAACTTAAAATTTCTTACTTAGAGTATAATGGTCAATTTATTATTTTTTTTAGGCCAAAAGTAATGATCATGTTACAATTTTTATACTTCAGTAATTCTTATAGGCAAACCAAATCACACGTAGAAGACAATGTACCTTTTCTTTTTTGGCCAACTGTTAAGCAGTGTGCATTATAAAAAATGACCAAATCTATGAAGATACATCAATAAGAATAAATATCTATTTTAATTTTAGTTGAACGTAAAAAAAATAATAAATTTTTTGTTTCAAATTATCCAATGACTTAAATAAAAACTGCAATACCTCATTTTAATTTTATGCAATATGGATAGAAGAGGGAGTAGTGAGTGAAAGTTATTCACCTTTAAATAAAAATGAGACTATATCCAAATAGAGAAGCCTTCTTGTGATTAGAACTTTGAGTTTTTTAGGTATTTTTTTTTTCTTTATTTATTTTATTATAGTAAAAGGGGGATTCGAACATAAACACACCTTCTTAGGGAATTAGATAATACTCTCGTTTATTTTTCTTCCATCAAGCACACAAACCCACAAAATGTTGATTAATAATATATATTTGGGTAATGTTAGTTTAGGAAACTTTTAAACGAGGATAAAGGTAATTTAGAAAATTTTAAAAGGTAGAATAGCGGTTTTGTAACTTTTGTTGGATTAAGAAATGATAATGGTATGTTTGTAATATCACTGTAGGATTATATCTGATGGTCATGTTCATAAAATTTAACGTTCTATACTTTATAGTAAGCAATAGATCATCATATATTAATTGGGGGAGGGGGCTCGAACTTGGACACATGAATGAGCTGCACGTTCAGCCAACTAAATTACTAAGTAATAAATAACTGAACTTATTCAAAATCTCTATTATTATTATTATTATTGATTTTTTTTTTTTTAGGATGATTATATATCTTGTACAAGTCAGACTATTTATTTGTCCATTTTGTGGCCACCCATTAGAACTTATATTTAATTTTGAGTGTTATTATCTCGTGCAAACGGTTCCACTAAACAACTTTGACATTTTATGTATCAATCAATATATAAAGGGAGATGATATTCGCACTCCATTTTTCTCCAATTGCATTACATTTATATATTTTTTTAAATAACAAGAAAGTCCTTGAATCTATTAATGCACAATTTATTAATTTATAATCTCGTAACGACCTTTATACAACTTTAAATTTTTTTTTTTTTTCCCTTATTTACTTTCTTTACTAATTTTTTTTCTTTCTTTTTGTTTTTTGCAGAGGTCCTCTCAAAGAAAATAATTTTCTATACTAATAATTATTTTTGGCAGTAAAAAGGGATAATTTATTCCATAGTGACAATTTTTTTTTATTTTTTATTTTTACAATCGAAAGATATATTTATGCAACAAAATTGACTTATTTTTTTTATTTTTAGTTTGTCAAAAGAGGTAATATTTAAGATTATAGTGCAAATGTTATATAAATTGTCATTAGCAATTTATTTTATTTTTATTATTATTATTTTTTTTCATAAACAATTTGACAAATATTTAGTTCTAAATGGTATTGGACTCGTATAAGAGTTTCGCACTTCACTTTGACACTTGACAATTTCATATATTCAATCTATATTTAAGTGTTTTTTTTTTTTTTTTTTTGGGTAAAACAATTCACTGGTCCAATTTGTTCCAAAGCGCAGTTGAACTAGCTAAGATGATCATTCATCGGTCCAACTTGCCCAATTCAAATAGGACTTTATAGCAAATACTTGCAGTTGAAATCATTTCAGACTTATTAACAGTTACTTTCTCCAGGAATAATAGTTTCGATATACATAATAATTAATTTTTGTTATAAATTTAGAAAAGATATAGAGTAAGGAGAAAAATAAAATTCTCCATTATTTTTTCTTTTTAGAAAACAATTAGGGTAAGGAGAAAAAAAAAAAATCTCTATTATTTCTTCTTTTATTGGTGCGTCTAAACTCAATGCATCTCTCTCTCTCTCTCTCTCTCTCTCTCTCACACACACACACACACACACACACACACACGTGTATATATATACACACTATTTTTACTAATACCCCACTCTTATTTTCACTCATTTCTTGTTCACAATTCACGCAACCTTAGAAACAATCACATACTGGACTTTCACATCGATAACATTGAGAATAAGGTATGGACCCCATCCCAACTACCCCCAAAAGGTGTATATATATATGATAATAATAAATTATTAGGTAAAGTGACCAAAAATAAAACAAAAAAAACCCTTTTTGAATTATTAATCCTTTGCAAGTAACTATTTTCAACTACCAACTGTCCCCTAAAGTTAATGATTTGTTACAATTCAAACACATCATAGACTATTTTACCATTTATCATTAAATTTGTCATTTTTTGTTAAATTATTTCTCTTATCTTTTCTTATGATTTAAATATTAATTATACCATTTATCTTAATTTTAGTTTTAGAATTAATTTATCATAAAAAAAGAAGATATAGTTATAACAACTATTTTTTCAAAATTATTAACTTATTATTAAAACTTCACTATTTATAATGAAATTTATTAGACTCAGTTTAAACTTTTTTATAGTAAAAAAAAATATTATTTTCATAGAATATATTCATAAAAATTTACTTAATAAAAAACCTTATTTTTAATAATATGTATTCATGAAAAATTAAGAAATTACATAAATTGTTTCAATAATTAAAGGTGAATATGTCATAAAATTATATGAAATTTTTTATAATTTATTTATAAAAAAAATTAAGTATAATTTAATGAAAAAGAGCATTACGATTATTTAATAAAAAATAAAAAATAATCCAAGCATGGATAGTTTTGTCAAAAGGAGTTTACTTGTAAATTGGGGCATCGGTCTTTGTTTTCTTAGCCTAAATTGTTAGTATTACTATGTTTAGAAAAGTATAAAAAAAACAGCGGACAATACGCTTTCTTGAAGTTCTCAACGAAAATGGTCCTGCGGTATCTGTGGCGCGCCAAAGGCAAGCTGGCCTTAACTGGCACCGCCCTGGGTGGCGGCGCGATGGCGGCGACGATTGCTAACTCCGACGACCCGGCGACGGCCCTGAAGCTATGCACCACCGTCCCTCTCCGCCTCATGCGTGTCTCCGTCACTGCCGCCACCACTGCTTTCGGTACAATTCACTATATATTGCCGTCTTCTTCTCATTGATTTATCCTAAGTATTAGGTTTAGGGTTTTTTGTTTTTGTTTTTTTTTTTTTTTTTTTTTTTGTTCCAAACCTATTTCTATTCGTTTCATTTATGGCTTACACTTGATTGTGGGATGTGATTGTGTATGTGTACATAAATCTGCGTTTTCATTTGGTTTGTTGAGTAGATAAATAAATCATTAAAATAACTTTAGCATTTTGATTGTGATAAGCCATTGAAAATTTAGATCATGAGAGGCATTTACTTTAAGTAGTGGAAGTGTCAAATAAATGCATGTTTTTACTCGAATAAGAGAATAAAAGCAATTACAGTGATCTGAATCTATTTAGGGCTAGTACTACTGGGCATCTAATCCCATTCGCTCCCCTAGCTTTTGTCTTTCTGTGTCAGTGTCAATCTAGTAGAGTGTTGTTTCTAATCTCTACAAATTCCACAATTCAGTCTCTACCAGAAATTCAATCTGCCCCTACCATACTCCAGATTGGTAGTTTCCCGAAAAGAAAAAGAAAATAAATTTTTTGAATTTTAATAAAGAAAATTATGCCATATTGAGGCTTTCTAGGTAAAGATATAAAATCTATTGTACCTGGTGATCCTTGGTTATGATATTCAAATATAAAATTGTTTCTCATCAAACAATATTACATTATTAACCATCAACGTGGTTGGTTAACATTATTTTAAACTATCCTCTCCAAGCTTTCTTTTTCGATCTATACTAGTTCTGCTTGTCCAAATGAATACTAGGACCTCAAACAGTTCAGTTATTAGTTATCAGGCTTATCAGCACGAAAAAATAGATTTAGTTTATGTTTCTAAAAGTTTACGTGCAATTCCAAATTTTTAACTATTACATTTTATTTTATTTTATTTTATTTATTTATTTTTTTTTCCTGAAATGTTTTCATTTTAGCGAACGTTGACAACGCATTGAAACAAAATTTTGATCCTTAGTGGGGATTGTATTCAGATTTTTGTATTCCTAAAGAAGAAATAACCAGCATTTTCTTACTTCCCCTCCCCCTTGAAATATTTAAATATATAAACATAGAATGAATATGCAATATAATCGACGTATCTTTATATAACCAAACCGTGACGGATTGTTATTAGATTTTACAAATGTATATGTGAATTAAAATTGATAATCGGATATGGTGATATCATGACATTTGTCAGGCCCGTTTGTGAGTTGGTCCATGTTGAAGTTACGGAAAGATGACTCAAGAGAAGAGATAGCTCAAACAGAAACATAATTTCGCGCTCTTCGTTGAATACATAGTTTTCAAGTTTTCACACTAAAATTATGGATTAAGAATCTTGCTGATTTTCCAGTTGATGTAGGCTAATAAGATTTCAGCTTGTGGTAAATTGACCAGATATACTGCTATCTGCTTGTTTCTCCCCTTTTATCTAGTTCAATATCTGGAATAAATAATTAAAAAATAACTAACATCCCATACTTTTTAATATTATTATTTTTAAAATGGGGAAATTTATAAGTTTAGTTGGTAATTTTTTGTAATGCATCTGGTATTTTGATAAATTTTGAGACTGAATTTACATTTTCTTTTAATAGATGAAACTTTGAATTGTCAGCAAACTCAGCCCATATAAAAAAGGAGGTAAATCATGAACAAATAACTGGATTTAGTGTTTAGATACTGACTGCAGGTATTCTAGGTTTCAGAGTTTTATTCTGGAACAATAGTTGGTAAGGATGTCAACCATTCTTGTGACATGCGGGCTCTTATAGACCTGGCTGACTCCATTTCTTTTTAATTTATTTCTTTGACAGAATTAGTACTTTGGGGAGAGAAAAAAAATCTCTTTGATGTTTTCTCAGGCTTTTGTTCCTTTATTAATATTTAAGTTGTAGGGTTGTTCTAGTAGATCTAAGACTTTGGAAACTATGCATTTGATTTTGAAGTATTTTATTTTTGTCATGTTGTTAGATTATGAATATTCATTGTGGGGACTACCAGAAGGTAGCATTGAGAGGTCAAGAGTTAAACATGAAGTTCACATCAGGGGTGCCCGCAGGCTTCAAGAATTATGTTTTCAGAATGGTGGCATCTATATTAAGCTTGGTCAACATATTAGTCAGCTGGTATGCTTTCACCATACTTTTTGAGGTATCTTTGATAAACTGGAATACTTTGTCTCTCATGTAACTCTGCATTTGGATTGAAGTCATTGGAATGAATGGAAAGAAAAGGAAAAGAAAGGAGGGAGAGCTTGTTTTGTTTGAAAACGAGGAAAAGGAAAGGAGGAGAATTTGTTACCCCTGAATTGAAATTATCTTATCCTTTTAGAAGTGGGATGATTTGGAAGGAAAGACAAAAAATTTAGTGACTAATATTTTTGAAACAAGTAATTCCCTATTTTCTCCTTTCTACTTAATAAAATATCATTTCCTTTCATTCCTCTCCACTATCTTGCCCAACTAAGATTAAGGGTTCCATCTATCTCTACCTGTATTTTTCGTAGTTATCCAAACAGAGGAGGGGGTTTTTTGTTTTTTTTTGTTTTTTGATAAGTAATAAATAGAGGAGGTGTTAACACTATACATTTTCTTTCTTCTATTTTGTCTTTTTTAACTAATATCATTATTTTTGTTTCTATCCTCTTATTCTTATCCAAAATGACTATTAATGATTGATGAATTATTATGGTAGATATGTAATTGTGTGTTGAATGAAATATATCTTGTATAGGAGTACCTAATACCTCAAGAGTACGTCCAGACAATGAGGGAGTCCATGTTGAATAAATGTCCAGTTTCTTCTTACGATCAAGTGCATGAAGTTGTGAAGAAAGAGCTTGGAGGGACACCGGATGAAGTATGTGTTATTTGTTAAATTGTTTCCCTAATTGTCCTGCATAGGAATGTTACCATTAGTGGATAGGATGCTTATCTCTCTAAAAATCGAGGTTGTCTTAGACTCTTTAGTTCCATGAAGGTCAAAGTGATCTCTGATGTCGTGTATGCTATAGCTGTATTTGTATTTATTTTGACTTATTCATTTGATCAGTAGAACAACTTAGTCAAGCTTCTCATGAACAGATTTTTGACGAGTTCAATCCTGTACCAATGGCAAGCGCTTCCCTAGCACAAGTTCATGTTGCTCGCACCCATGATGGGCAAAAAGTTGCTGTGAAGGTTACAACTGTTCCACAATTACTCCTAATAAGAACATTTATTTTGAAATGTTGTCTTATTTCTTCAAACGTATACAATTATGAGATAATAATTTTCTTATGAGGATTTCTTTCTTTTGTCCGACAATTTCCTCAATATTCAGGTTCAGCACACTCACATGACTGACACTGCGGCCGCAGATTATGCCACTGTGGAGTTAATTGTCAACACCTTGCATTCTTTTTTTCCTACTTTTGATTACAGGTTAATAGATGGTTTCTTTCCTGCTCCTTATTTTTCTTAGCTCTTTTTTTTTTTTTTTTTTGATAAGTAATAATTGAATTAAAAAGGCGTTCAATAGGGGAACACATCCCTTATACAAAAGTGGAACCGGGGTTTAAGGCCCCAAAGAAGCCGAAAAAATAATTAAATCTTCAGAAGAGGAACAGGACTTCCTTTTCACATAACTAAAAAGAGAGTGTATGATATGGAGTTTCAGAATCGCCGTGGACGATTCTTTCCCTTCGAACATTCTACTATTTCTTAGATTTTTTTATTGAATATTTATGTGGTGTCATGGGAATTTTGAACATTTGAACTTTGCATGGATACTTATACGACACACAAGCATGGATACTTATACGACATGCACATGTGCAGTTGTTACATATCTGTGTGTGCGTACTCCCATGTGTACTTATTTTCAACATACTGTTAACCTGAAGTGTACTTGAAATTGAAATGCAGGTGGTTGGTTGACGAAGTGCGTGAAAGTTTACCTAAGGTTAGCTGCTTAAACTTTACAACTTTGTAAAGTTTAAACCCTTTTTGGCTCATTTATAATGAACTGCATCTTGAGTCTTTATAAGTTGCTCTTTTTGAATGGTATTCTCTCAATGTTACATTTTATTACACGAGGCTTCCACTTTTCTATTTTTCTAGTTCTTTTTTATTAACTTTCATATGTTTTTAATTGTGTAAATTAGGTCCACACATGACAGAATACTTCTGCTTTTGATCTTTACATCATTCTGAAATTCGACTTTTTACACAACTCTTCAAATTAGCTCTATCTTTTGAAGTGATGCAGTCCATAAGAAGCTCCAGGAAAAGCAAATTGAAAGATAGGAGTAACTTAAGGAAATGACTCAATTTCATGCCATACCCACTTGAAACCTATTAGATTCAGTTGTAGGTTGTCTTTGGTTTTATTTTATTTTTCCTTTTATTGAGTTTGCTTCTAGTTTAATTTTCTTATTATTAAGTTTTTGGATTTAACAGTGTCCTGGTAATTTTAAACTTTGCTGAACAGGGACTACAGCAGGCCCTATGGGTCATATTTGGTCAGATTATGATATTGGCCTTTATTTATGGTTTTAATAGGTCCATGTAGGTTTTACTAGTCGAAGTCATTGAATTTTTAATTATGTGGCCAAAGTCCTATTAGAATTGGGATTTGTAAAAGTTCATATATTGCTATGTACTCCCTCTGTCCCATATTAGATGTCCGTGTTTAGATATTGGAGTTTTTAAGGGGACATGCAATTAATGCATTGTCCCCTTTTAAAATTACCAACTTGTCCTTTTTAGTTTAGATATGTATAGTTACCAAGTTTGAAATTTTTTGAAAATATAAAGGACAATGATGGAAAGATAAAGCTAATTTGCTTGACTTTTCAAAGTGGACGACTAATTTGGGACGTCTAAAAATGAGATAATGGACTACTAATATGGGACAGAGGTAGTAATTTTTTGACTTAATAGAGATCAGGTTTAAGATTGTCTTCCAAAGTTTTGAAGCTTTTTGTTTTTTGGATGATGCAATTCTAGCTCCAGTTGATAATGACTAGGGAATTCTAGGTGTGATGGACAGCACTTTATACTTCTTTTTTCCCTTCGTGTTTTCTGTGTCTATTAGCATTTGAATGCCATAATCAGATCATGTTTTACATTTTGCAAGGGTAATTGTTCCATTTTCAGTCATTCAACCATAGCAAGTCTAAGAAACCCAAACAGCAAAAGTTACTGTTCATGGCACTCAGAGAAGCCTCAGAATTTTCCCCCAGTTTTTATAAACTCAAAAAATCAATCTTCCAACTAACCTTTTAGCCATAAGAGCCAATGATAATTAACCCCAAAAAAGGGTCTATAGACTCTTTACTGCTGCCATACATCAATATTAGTCTTGTAGCTTGTAGAACATTCCTCCACAATTGTCCTACATCATGAAGCTCCAGAATTATCTAAATTTGATTTCTGATATTTGCTCTGGACTTCTGCAACCTCCATGAATTTTCTTAAATATATTCCTAATGGACAAAATCTGCGAGCAACCAAATTCGTAACTAAATCAACTGTGTTCAGTCTATGGGTACATTTTTGCAACCTTCGTTTATGATTTGCAACTTTTTCTTAAACCTTCTATATTTGGGTTCCATCAAGGGCACTCATGAGAACTGATAAAGATCTTTTGATGCACATGTGACATAGTAATATAGTTGAATTGTTGTTTCCTAGTGTCTGAAGGTATATATATGAAACAAAAGAAAAAAATTCTGATTAGAGAGCATGTCAAGAATACCAGTACTGAAACATGTAAAATGATGATTGGAACTGGTCTTCCTATCTAATTTGGTAGAATTTTTCCAGTGCATTTAAATCATAGACAAATGAGAGACTCTCTCAAGAAAAGGAGGGTTTTTTTGTTAACATTCTAAAGTAGAAGAGGAAAGAAGCTAAAATATGCATTCAATAATTGCAACCTTTAATAAGAATAGTAAAAACATGCAACACACGAAGCCATTCTGGAAATAGGAATGTAGCATGCTGATCAGGCATGATATGTATATAGTTTTGGTAAGATGGCTTATAGAAGGATGCCTTTTATATTTTATTTTATTTTTCTCTTATACACCCTATTAAACTAAGCCTTACCCTTACCTTTTAATTGGCTTCTCAAATCCTGTTTAACATGTACACTCTGACATTCGTGGTTAAGCTTTCTGCTCAATATGCCTTTTTTGTATTAGAGAACAATGCTCTTGACTCTTCCTAAATTTGACCTTGCAAAAGCACACTCTTCATATTATTTATATGCATTCATGTATTAAACTAAGCCTTACTCTTACCATTTAATTGGCTTCTCAAATCCTGTTTAATATGTACAGTGTGACATTCGTGGTTAAGCTTTCTGCTCAATATGCCTCTTTTGTACTAGAGCACACTGCTTTTGACTATTTCTAAATTTGATCTTGCATCAAAGAACGCTCTTCATATTATTTATATGCAGTCATGTATATATATTATTTTGGGTGGTGGTTGTACAGTAGTGATTGAACATGATAATTACGGATTGTCATTTTGTTCATGATAATTACGGATTGTCATTTTGTTCAGGAACTAGATTTCTTGGTTGAGGCCAAGAACAGCGTAAAATGTATGGATAACTTCAGGAAGTTATCACCTGATATTGCAGATTATATTTATGCCCCAAGGGTGCATTGGAATTTAAGTACCTCAAAGATATTGACCATGGAATTTATGGATGGTGCATTCGTAAATGATGTGAAGACCATTCAAAGATTTGGAATAAAGCCAAACGACGTTGCAAAACTAGTAAGTGCATACTGTGCATGAGCTTCGTGTTACATCTTTACATGCTGATTATAATAAAAATCTCATAGTCAAGTTAGTATCAACAATTTATTTATTTCAATTATCAATGATTGCATGCTTGGAGCATGCTGTTGAGTCAATTATTGACTCAAAATCCTTTTAAGGCTTGTTTTGTGATGGTTTCCACTGCTCTGTGTCTCGACATTGTATGCTTTTGACTATGTTTCAAGCATGGGAAAGCATTTAGTTGAATAAATTAAATAAGTTTGATTCCTCAAGAAAATTCAATGCTGTTTTTGTTGTTAACTGAGAGGAGGTTGATTTTAATTTCTGCAGGTTAGTCAAACTTTTGCTGAAATGATGTTCAAACATGGGTTTGTACATTGTGATCCACATGCTGCCAACTTACTGGTTCGCCCTTTGCCTTCTTGCAAGAGGAACTTTCTTGGTGAGAAATTTGTTTATTTGACATCATTAGTTGGAGCATCTTTTTGATAAGTATATATATTTGTAAGTTATGTTATATTACCAATTAATTTCCTTTCGTGGGTTGCATAAGTAAAAACCATGCTTATAAGTCATTTAAGTAGGGGAAGACGTTGAAATCTTTTTCTTTTTTTTTAATGCTTTTTGTGTTCTGTTGTATATTGATCATTCTACAAATTAGATTTTAATATTATTTTTACACTAAATAAATAACTTTTGGCAGATTGAAGTTATTATAGGACTCTTGCCAATATTTGTCATTCATACAGGAAAAAATATTATATATATATATATATATATATATATGTTTATATTTGGTGAGTGGTTGCAACGTTGACCAGCCCCATGCATGAGGTGATGTCTTCACAAGCACTAACTTTATACTGGGCTTAAATATTTCTGTATCAGAAGTCAAGAATTGGCAAGGATTTGTAGTCGGGTAATTCTCCCATGCCGTGCCCCACCTTTTTGTGGCCGGAAAGGTATACAATAATTAGAGTCGGGCTGCGATCACTTCAACTGTGATCTGCTTCAAGTTTGGGATTGGACAGGGTTTTGTATGGCTTGCAGTTCCCAATGCTGGCGTACCTTGTTATGTATGGTATTTATTTAAATATGGTATTGTTACAGCATTTACTGAATCGTGTTCCCAATTAATGGGCATCTTCTTATAACTAAAAGTTCACGAGAATCCCTATGCAAATGGAGAAGTGCAAGTGGAGACGACTGAGGGTTGCTTTGATGGTAAGAGTATGCCAAGGCTTGAACTAGGACCTAGAGGGAGGCGAATAGTTCTCAAAATCAAATTAACTACTTATAACAGAATTCAAAATTGAACTTTCACTGAATTCCAAATTTCAACTAGCACAATTAGTATGTAAAATAGTCATGGTGCATAATGGGGAGCATAAAAAGTATGAAGACATCCATACTGACACCATATTTTTACATGGGAAGCCTCAAATTAGCCTCTCTATGCTAGGATATAGTTGATGTATACTTCCCCTGTTTTTCAGAAAATTCATGGTCTTTTTATAGTGCTCTGAGGCTAATACGAATTAGTGTTTAAGAGTCTGAATCAGTTTTGGAAACTAGCTTTTCGCAGATGTTGATCGATCGACATAGGCTGATCAATCGAACCTAGTCCAATTCGAATGATGGAACTCCTCTGTCATAGTTCAATTAGATTTTCTGTTTTTAGAACATTTTAAAGCACTTTTAAACCTAATAATAAAGATCAAATCATTTAAATTGAAAATCCCTAATATGCTATATTGTTATGAAAGCATGCACATGAACCATAATTGGGTGAGTGCAGAAGTTTGAGAGTTGAATTACCATTATACCCTTGCATGAAGCTTGAAATCTCCAATATGCCTCTGGATAGAGGTAGCTCGACTAATTTAACTTTTAGAAACATAAAAAGAAAAAGAAAAAAAATACAATAATATAGGCACTGTTTCGTATGAAATTTGTTATTCTACGCCCTTTTGACCTAATAATAACCACTCTTATCTATAGAGAGATTTACATCACCTTCATGTGAAGTTCTGGTGTGGGATAAGAGAATGGTGCCAAGTTTGGTGCAGAATGATGGTGTTATTAGCCAAAAAGAAAAAAGAAAAGTACTTTTTATATATTGATAAAGGCCTTGTTTTTATTTTTTTTTATTTAAATACTCAACCATCATTTTGTATTTTCTGCCAAAAAAAAAAAAAGGCTTGTTTAGTTCTTGCACATTGAAATTATACCAGCAGAGCATTTATCCTCTATATAGGAGGTCTCTTCCCACCTTCCAAGTTAATTGTCTTTGGATTTTACTGCCACATGCAGCAGAATATAATAACAATAATCATAAAGAAACGGTAACAAAATGTTATATCCCTTGTCTGTCAATTATATTAATTCATGTCAGTTGGTGTCAGCTATGTTGTTATTAAGTTTGCTTCTACAGTTTGATAGAAGTCTTTATCAATGCTGGGCCTAAAATTTGAAATAACTTAAAGTTGTTATCGGAGTTGTTGCTTTTCAACTTTGAGTACATAATTGATCTGATAAGGCTGGCAAGCCAGCCAAAAGTTCATTAATATAATTACAAACCTACAATAATATCCTTGCTCTTTGCAAATCCTCCTCAGTGAGGTGTATGTTTCTAAGAATTTTTATTGATCCACCGCTCCTCAAATCTATTTGTTTGTTTCCTTTCAAATCTTTTTATACCAAGACTCGTATTCCATTTTATCCATATTAATGTGGTCCTATAAAGCTCCTCCCAATGTTAAAGCTTTTGCTTTGATAGTGTCTCTTGAGAAGATGAATATCTCTTACATTCTTCAGATAGATGTTTTATGGTTTTGTCCCTGGTAGTGGATTGTTTTTGCATTTCTCCTTTGTTTGACATCACTCCACCACTATACAGTGGAGTGGTCAATAGTCATTAAACTATGTAGTGATTTGTGTCTATCCTTAGTATCTGATATTTATATATTCATGATGAGCATTAATAAACACATTCACATGGTTTCATCTATAGCATCCTGGCCACTCATATTGGGATAGAGTTGGGATATATATAAAGTTGGTTAGGTTATAAAACTTGGATTTGCTTCGGGCTTATCTTTATGGGGTAGGAATGAAGTAGGGGTTTTCTCGTATCAAACGCACCTTATTATCATTCCTAGCATGCATGCCATCTTGCTTTCATTTTTATTATTTGGTATACCATTTTACTTGGTTTTAGTAAAATTGTGGATAAATATTAGACGGCTAAATTGTAGTATGACGAATTATGAATCTTTTAGTGAGGTTTGGATTTTCATGTCTTCTCATGTTGAACAAGTTTCTATCATAATTGTGAATGTAACTCCAGAAGGTTTTAAAGAATACAGAAAGAAAGATCAAGAAGGGAAAAAAAAAAAATCAAGAAGAATATTGAGATCTTTATTATACAATTAATACTACAACACCACGATAATTGGTGTAGAGAATTTGTCTCGAAAGAATCTGTACCTAATCGTTTTGGGGATTGCTGTCAATCTGGACACTATGTTGGCATGTTATCGAAGAAGATTGAGAGTTGGTGGATTCTAGGAGGCCCGATTCAAGAAGGGAAAGTGAATTGGAAATTGAGGAATTGGTGGAATTGTGATGCCTTGTATAGAATGGATAGTTCGTGCAGATGGTGATGAGGTGGGAACCGTGGGATGGGGTGTGTTGAAGACGTGTAGAATTGAGGTAAGTTGTATTGCAAGATTTTGATGGGGACTTCAAATAGGAATTTCCCATGGAAGGGGATTCGGTTCTCTAAGATGCCTCCCAAGGTGGAATCTCTTGCTTTATACGCAGGTGTGGAAGATAATTGACAATTTGATGAAAAGAAAAGGAAAAGTTCTCACTAATTGTGTTACATATCTAAGTAGGTGTGTAGTCGGTGTATCATTCATTGTATAGTGGCTACGGAAGTTTGGCCCTTGTATGCATGATGTTGGTCTATCCAGATTAGTGCCTATTTTAGTTAGTAATTAGAGAGGTGCTGGAGTTTAGCAAATGAAGGTGGCCTGGCATCCTGGACTATTATGCTTGATGTAGTGTGTTTGGGAAGGGAGGAACCAGGCTTTTTGGAATGCATAGAGGAGCGTTTCCATAAATCGAAAAGCATTTTTTAGGAGTTTGGTTTCTGGAAGGGTAGATTTTTGGATTTTGTAGAAATTATGGATTCTTAGTTGCTTTATAGTTTATAGTGATAAACGTGTTCTTGGTCAGCGTGTGCATGATGACGATCCTCTTTTGGCGCTTTTTAGTGTATTGCCTTTTTTTATCATTAAAGAAACAGTTAGTATTGTGTTTATTTAAAAATGTGGGTTATTAACATGGAACTCCTCTCCCAATCGCAGTTTGCTCAAAAATTTGGAGAATTCTATAAAACTCTCCGATTTTGGGAAACTAACAGGTACTGGATTTTATAGTAGTAGTTTCATGATGATCTTCAGTGAAGTTACTATAAAGATTGCCAAATTTGAACAAAAATAAAGGAACAGCTTCAAAGATAAGCCTGAGTGTTTCATGATGATCTTCGCTGTTCTCAATAGTTCAGTGAAGTTACTATAAAGATTACCAAATTTGAACAAACATAAAGGAACAACTTCAAAGATAAGCCTGAGCTATAGCAAGCTTATCACATAGGTTTCCTATATTCCATTCAATGTCTGTAGTCTCATGCACCTGATACTCTACAGAAAACATGTTCATTTTATCATCATCCTCATATGCTTGTGATCATCACCATCATCATCAAGCAAGTCTAAATGATCCTTGGCGTCGTGCTCGTTACAAGACCCTCAAATCCATGTCCCTTATTCTATTCAAATCTTTTCATGTCCTAAAATTGAAGTATATAATTTTGCTTACTTCGACAAGCACATTGTGGATGGTCTTTTACATCTGATGTCAATATATTTCTCTTCCCTCATGCAGGCAAGAGAAAACCACAGTTGATACTGCTTGACCATGGTCTGTACAAGGAGCTTGACCTCCCCACTAGAACCAACTATGCAGCACTCTGGAAGGTGTTTCATTTCTTTCCCTTGAAAATTTTGTATCCCAATCCCATGCTTGCTGTTCTTCTTGTTGACATAATGTCTTGACTTGTCTTACAGGCATTGATATTTGCTGATGCCAATGCAATAAAGGAGAACAGTGTAAAATTGGGTGCCGGGGAGGATCTGTATGCATTGTTTGCAGGGATTCTTACAATGAGACCTTGGAATAGGGTCATTGACCCATCTGTTGATCATCTGGTCCTACAAGGCAATGACGGTGATCGCTCTGAACTCCAGGTGACCGTCTATTAAAGGATAAAGCTTTTTCATCATATGGAATTCTTCACAAATATGTTCGGATGTCTTCTTTGATTTGAACTTCCCTGGCATTTAAATTGGATATTAATCCCTTAAAGTTGGGCCATTAAAGAAATGGAAACTTCCCACTTCTTTGAAATGGATGTGGCTACCATTTTCCTAGATTGCTGCCTCCAAATAATGGATTTAATTTTGAAAATTGAAATGATATGATAATTTTTCATTGCGGGCATTCAAATTCAGGGGGATCCTAAAGATTTCCTCAAGATTTAATGCAATATGGAGTTAATACTGTTCCAGATTACATGACTGATTTTGCTTTCTTTGGGCATTTGCATTAAAGAATAGTTGTATCTTATCTTTAGTAACTTTCCTCTTACAAGCATCACTCCATATGAAGTTTTGAGCTGCACACGATCCAGTTTGTGTTTATGTTGATAAATTGGATTAGCAATTTTTGAACAATTGTTTCTGTTGGTTAATGATATGTTCTTAATGACAGATGTATGCTTCTCAATATTTCCCTCAAATCTCAGAGCTTCTAAGGAGGCTGCCTCGAGTTATTCTGTTAATGCTAAAGACAAATGACTGCTTGCGGGCAGTTAATAATTCGCTGGTATGGTTCACTATTTATATTTGTTGCCATAACATTCTGTTATAATTTGCATGATGTCCATTGTTCAAGTTTACAATGGGTATTTTTCCATACCAAAATCTTAGAAATTTCTAATAATTGCCATGAAGCCTGATATTGAGGCATGGGGTGCTAATTGCGTAAAAATGGGATTGCGTTTGGAGAAGGGGATGGAGTTCGAGAAGAATGTTCTAGTTTCATTTTTCGTTTGGTCTGTGACTTTTATTGGTACGAAGAGAGAGATAAGTAGATGATGGATGGATGTAGATAAAGATATATATATATATATATAGAGAGAGAGAGAGAGAGAGAGAGAGAGTTCGATGGTGATTTAAAGAAATTCCTAACTTAAGCAACCTGATGACTCCTAAGAAGAATCCCAAATACCCTGTTGGCTCCACTTCCCTTATAGTGCCCATCTTTTCTCCCATAATTTTAAATTTTGTTTTCTTCCCACTACTATTTTCTCCATATTGGGCTAGGTGAAGTTTTAAATTCTCATGTTTTAGGAGTTTTTTACGGGCCCATTAATAGGTCTTGGAGTCGAGAGGACGGTTATGATAAGTTAGTCATGAGTTCACTACCAGTGTAAGTCCATCCTGAGAAGCTTGTACCATGCTTTATTATTCTCCTTTTTACTCTTCCATTTATTTATTAAAACTCCCTCTTTCTCGCTCTCATCATTGAGAAAAGCTTCATTTTCGTTGAGGAGATTTATAGGCTACTATTATTTTCCTCCTCCTCCTATCTTAAGCATGCTCATCTGTTTTATGCTATTACAATTTAAGGCATCATCTGTTTTTGTGATTACTTCTTTAGTTGGGAAGCAATAATTGTGTACATAACTTGAATTATCTTTTATCAGAAACTGTTCTGAATAATGGGGCTAGTAAAATATTGGTGATTCACTCTTTTACATTCTGACCATGCCTCTTGTACAGTTGCAGGAATCTTCTCTTGAGACGTTTCTTATAATCGGTAAAGTTTCTTCTGAAGCAGTCATTGAGGCGAAGAAATTACAGAATAAGTCGTTTTTACGTCGGTTTAGTGTTTGGTTGGAGGAAATATTGTTAGAAGTGCGATTTTTGGGAATGCAGATGGCCTTGTGGGTTTTACAATTCAGGAAAGCATTGTCCTTGTGAAAGCCATAAATCACATTGAAGACGCTCATTTGCAAGAAACCCTTTCTGTTTTAGTTAGAAACTTGCATTCTTTGTCGCGGCAGCTCATTTCAACCTTACCTGAATAAAGATATGAGCATTAAATTGAGAAAATGATTCTTTTCAAACAAAAAGGTGCATTCATTTTTGAGAAAGATATTCTTTTGCCGGATACATATAAACACCGTCATGTTCATTGTTGTGTGATTGCGTTGTTAACCCCATGAGTGGGCAAGTGATAGATGATGTATAACAAAGTCAATTATTGTAATGTCGAAATAACATTTTGGACTTCGATTTATTGTTTCAAACTTTCTTCCAAGGTTGAAAGATACTACACTTTGTAACGAGGGAACAAAATGTATTCATTCTTGGTCACTATTGTGTTTTACTTAAAATTTGGATGTGAATTTCTATCAGCAGAACTGGGTCCGTTGTTTACAGGCTATAACTTTTTTATTTTTAGTTGACACAGTGCACTGCCTGTGCATACCCTCTCCAACTAAGGGTTAGGCTAGTGCACGAGGCTCCCACCCGTCATGCGGGGTTTGCAACTTTACCTTTGCATATAGAGATGATGTTTTTTTTTTTTGGTTTCGAAGCTGTGACTTCCATGTCACAATAAAACAACTTTATCAACTACAGACATGTTCATGTAGCTTGATGTTGGTCTTCGAACTAAAGTCAAGTCCCAATAACTAGCAAACACTATCTGGAATTTTGATACCCTTCTGTGTTTTTTATTTTTTTCTCTGTTTCCAAACAAACAGGTGCATCAATTTTGTATGCTTTTCAGGTACAGTTATGAATGAATTGCATCCATTCGATTATCACACGTCCTTATCTAGTGCAGATTCTGCCTTTAAGAGGGTGTTTGGAGGCAGTTTCATGGCAATTGTGTCACAAGTTTGTGATATTGTACATCTTTTCTTTAATAAATTCAGTCCCACTATTTAGAACCAACCCAATTCAAGAAACCAACTACCACATGCGTCAAAGGAGGATGAGGGTTTATTGATGGTAGCAAAGAAGATGTGCATTGAAGTGAAGCGATGAGCAGTGATACTCCGATTTATTGTAGTGAATTATCAAACCGAATGATTTTAATTGGTAATTTATGCACAATACAAATAAGTAGAGGATCCTATTTCTTTATTTGTTACATAAATGACTACCAATTAAAAGAATTAGGTCTATCAATTTCCTGCAACAAATTAATGCAAGTATCATTTTTCATTTTGAATTTTCATTAGATAATACAATATTTATTATTAGATAATTTTGAACCATAAAACATTTTATTGAACCGAGTTCTACTACCTCTCTCCTCCGCCTAGTGGGAGAGACATTTTTTCTTTCGTTGCTGAAAGAGTGTCACTCTCTGTGAATTGTGATAGGACTGTATTAAAAATGAAAGACGCTTGAATCAGATGGACGATTGACTTAGGAATTAATCGGACCATTTAGTAATTTCTCAGAATGAGAGGAATGTACAATGACATGTAGTGCTGTGGAGCCCATTTGATAGATGATCCAATTGAGAGATTCCAAGGGTACCTCGGGTATGACATATGCAAAAAATATATACAGTATATATTTGATTAGTAATAGCATTTAATGCACTTAAAATTAGGTGAAAAAGTTGTTGTTAACAGTGCTTCATAAAAAAATATATATTAAAAAAAAATAATAATAATAAAGTTGTTAATGGTACATAAATTTGCGGTAATCGAAAAAACAATTGGAGGTAACCAATAATTTATTTTTGATTGAATGAACAATTTTCGAGCAACTATGATTTTCAATTTCCAAACTATCCTCTGATGTTACAACCATTTGCTTTTAATTTCAAATCCTATCGCATAGGAGTTTGGTGAGTAATGGGTAGGAGGTGGGGCCACCAATATTCAGTTTGCACCGGAAAGGTCTTATTAATCAAAATAATACGTCTTAAATTAATTGTTATTCAATGCAGGTGTGTGCTTTCTTTATCAGGGAAAAAATCCTAGGTACTATGCTAGTCAAAAAGAAGAAATTTATTTTAGTGACACTACATTCGTCTCATATTATTCATCTCAAAAAATTTGACTCATAATTTTTGTAAGTCAAGATTTATAAATTGAACATCTAATATGATACGTATATAAACATATAAAAGAAATACGATTAAAAATAATATAAAATAACTTAAAAATAAAAAATAATTAGTTTTCGACGTGAACAACTAATATGGGACAGAGGAAATATTAAAAGAGAATTGTTACTAACTTCACATTTGATCCATTCACTTCTTAAATTTATCAAATAAAAGACTATTTTGCCCTTATCTTTTTTAGGGTCTTTTCAAATAAATCCTATATAAGAGATAAAAAGTAAACTTGTAATTTTAATTATTAAAATTAAAAAGTAGAGAGTGGTCCAAAAAGCAAATAGTTGGTGAGGTTAGCTTCCCTAGTCGTCCCCTAATCCAAGTGGGACCCATTTGTTGCATCTAATAAATGGAGTAGATTGTGTCAAAAAAAAAAAAAGTGTAAATATCATTTTCCAAGAACATTTTAGGACAAGATTCTTTATAACAATTTCACCCCAAAAAAAAATACAAAACATGTCATATAACAAGCAACCATTCATTAATCTTCAAAGCTTTTGTTTTTGTTTTTGTTTTTTTAATTTATTTTTATTTATAATTCTTTTCATTCAGATTCAACGTTAATACAAGAATTCTAATATTTTTTTTTAGAGGACTGCTAAATACAGTTGCAAATTCACAGTCGCACTTCCTATTGGATAGCTTTAAATGAATTCAATTTTCTATCTTCTTACAGTTGGGTTTTAAATGGATTTGACTTCTTTGTTTTTTACAATTGTGTTTTAAATGGAAGCAACCGCTAATTGGTTGAAAAACCCAATCATAGAAATTGTAATTAATTCCTCATTTTTATTTTTTGAAACTATAAAACTTTAACTTTTAAAACCAAATTATCCTTTTTTATTTTATTTTATTTTTATTTTTTTCTGTCCTACTTGTACGTATATATGTGTGTGTGTATATATATAACCTTCATTCTTCTTTGTTTACCTATCTTATTTTTTTCTCTCTCTTTTTCAATTGTTTTTAAACTATATATATATGTTCACTGTGTGAATGGTTTCTCACTGTTTCATCTTCTTTAGATAAAGAGAGAGAAAAAAAAAAAAAATTATAAATTTTTGTGAATTGATTGCTTTTATTTTTTTATTTTTTATTTTCAATTCTTTTATTTTATATATACATATATATATATGTAGTAGTTAACCACTGTGAATAGATTAGAAAACGATACTTCTCTTATCTCATATTAACTAAAACTCAAATTTTATAATATTACTTCAATTAAAACTCAATCTCCTAAATATCATACAGTTATTTCAATTAAATTACAAAAAATCCAATAAAAAATCCATCAAAGTGGAACATATATATATATATATATATATATATATATATAAAAGACAAGTGAACAAAAAAGAAAGAAAGAAAGTAAAGAATAAAGTATAGCCATATATATCCAAGAAAGAAAGACGAAAAAAAAGAAGACAATTGTTAAAAAATAAAAAATAAATAAAGTTAAATATATGTAACAAAGGAAAGAAGAAAGGTTATTAGGTAGAAAGAAAGAGAAAATAATTTTAAAAAGTAATTTGGTCATAAAGTTAAAGTTTTATAATTCAAAAAAAAAATAGGAACGACACATTAATTACAACTTATTTTTTAACCAATTCACAATCACTTCCATTTAAAACACAACCGTAAAAAATGAAAAAGTCAAATCCATTTAAAACCCAACTGTAAAAAGATAAAAAGTTAAATTCATTTAAAGCTATCCAATAAGAAGTGTGACTGTGGATCCACAGTCGCAAATACGACTGGCACTCCTCTTCTTTTTACTTTCGAAAAGAGACATCTTCTGATTTTTGTCTCCGAATCCGAAAACTTTCGACTCAGAATCCGTATCACGGACTCGGACTCAAAACATAATGCAGAAGTTGACTTTCAGATTCTGTATCACTGACTCAGAAAATAATTCATAAATTGACTTTTGTAAGTTGGTTGGCCAACTCCTTTGCAAGAGGGACAAAATGCAGGCTGTACAAGCTGACTGGTTTGAAATCATGATAATCAGGGCAATGCATGATCCAACGGTCAGAATTCAACAGGGAGCAACTTTAAATTTGAATGGAGGGAGGGCAGTGGTAGTGGTAGTGGTGGTGGTGGTGGTGGTGCTGAGTGGTTCCAACAAAGCGTGGTAATGGGGGGAGGGAGTAGAGAGAGCCATTAATGGTGGGAGCTTTTATTAGATGTGGGTGTGTGACTCTATTTACCATTCCCATTTTCTCTCTCCATCACCCAATTTTGTCTGGTCCTTTTTAATTCCTAAATTTATAATACTACTATCAATTTCTCTTTTCAGATTATGGATCAACCACCTTGTACCAACCCATCATTTGAAAAGATGTATCTGTATTGATTTTTTTTTTTCAAATATTAGTTGGTGTCCTAACTAGTTCCCTGAACGCTAATGCACTTACAATTCTATGAAATACTTAATTGACCGAGAAATTATTAAATGATTTTGACTTATTTAATATTTGACGAATTAATTCAATTAAAACCGTGAGATGATAATATTTAGTAATATGTTAAATACTATCTTGTGAGGCTGTTTTTTGAATTCAAAAATTTGTATTTAACTAGTTCATTAAGTATTAATGGTCAAGAACTATCTAATATTTTCTAAGTATATCATTACTTTAAATAATTTACAACTTGTCATTGTAATATATATTCAAGGAATAATGATATTGACTGTAGACAATGGAAAAACCATTTTTTTGACTTCTACCTTTTTTTTTTCTTCCTATAAATGGAATAACAAAGTTGTTCATCGACATCAACAATCTCAAAAATACTCTTAAATTTCACTTTTTAATGGTAACTTGACTATATATATATATATAGTGAAGTTCAGTAAATATTGGTACTTAAGGAAGATATTTTAATTGAGAGATAAAATTTGGAACTCTAAGAAATTACAAAAAAAAAGACAAAAACAAAATAGAAAGAATCTAAATTATCTTATAATTCTTATTATAAGAAGTGCATATTTTTTATTATTATTATATATATATATTTTAAACTTTACAAGGCTATTTATGCAGTAGTGATATGTTCATGCATGATGCATTATATTAAAAGTGACGGATCGGAAACGAATCTAACTCTTTGCCAGGTTCTTATTAAAATATTTTTAATTTTTACTTTTGTTTTTAATGAAAAACTTCACATTTTTTGGATAAGAAATATTCTCGCATGGTAGATTTTAATTGTAGATTAACCACCAACATCTACCCTTGACTATCCATCCGGTCTTTAAGATACGGGGTATTGTTTGGATTTAAAAAAGAAGGGAAAAAAATGATTTAAGACGGACCCACTTCATTTCATTGTCTTATTTATTTAAAAATCAACATTAAATTAACTTTTTTTAAGATTATTTTCTACTTACTGTCCATTATTGTCCGTATAAACTTTTTCAAGTTTATAAATAGTTACAAGGGAGGTGATATTTGTATTCCACTTTTCTTGCACTTCATTTAACTTTTTCTTTTATAAAAAATGACAAAAAAATCCTTCAATTCATTAATGCAACTTTCCTTATTTTATAATGTCATAACTATTAATTATACAACTTTAACTTTTTTTTTTTTTACCTTCTTTACTTCCTTTTCTAATTTTTTTTTCCCTTGTCCTGAGGTGCTTTCAAAGAAGATAATTTATTCCATATTAATAATTTTATTCAGATAATTTATTCAATAAAGAGGTGAAAACAATTAATTCAATAAAGTTAACATTTTTCCAGTCGTGTCAAAATCAGTAACTTTTTTTTTTTTTTTTGGTAATTTTTTTTTGGATCCCGTCAAAAGAAATAATTTATTCAATAAAAATAGAATTTTTTTTTTTTGAGTTTTATTAAAAGAGATAATTTATTTAATAGAGATAATTTTTTTTTGAACCCTCTTTTTTTCATACTTTATTTTTTTTTTTTTTATCTCGAGTCTTGACAAAAAAGATAATTCCTTCAATAAATATATTTTTTTGAGTTTTTTTCATATCAAAAGAGATAATTTTTTTAATGGTTACTTTCTTCTTTTTCTTTTTTTTTTTTTTTAGTTCGGTCAAAAGAGGCAATTTATTCAACATATATTATTATTATTATTATTATTATTTTTTGTTCTTCAGGAAAAAAAATTCATTGTCAAAAGAGATTTAAAATATTAAAGATAATAATCATTTACTTATTTAGGGTTATAATTATCATTTAATTTAAAATTATAATACAATTAGAAAAAAAAGTAGAGTGTAAATATCACCTCCCTAGTTACAAATACTTTTTTATCTACTAATAATCTATGGGTAAACATAATCGGTGTCTTTGGGGTTGGTTTGGTCAGATAAAAATTAATGTACAAAAATGATTTACTTAATGACTTATCATGATTAAATAAGGTAAAAAGTCTAAATAAAATGGTATTGAATAAATATTCTAATAAGAATTTAAATAAATAATTTCGTAGAACTTTGAGAGGTTAAAAAAGGGGGCATACTTGTAACTTCACCGTTAGTTTCTTAACAAAGCAAACTTTTCTTATATTTTTTAAAATTTTATGAAAATATTAAGTGATTATAAAAAATTACTTTCCTACAAAAACTTAAATATTTTCATTTATTTTTTTTGTCCTTGCTATTTGGGTGAAATGAAAAAACAAGCCTTTGGAAGCAGTAAAAAATGGAAAAACACAAGGTACGTATTTATTTTGGTGTCAGAACAAAAGGTAAAAAATTGGTCAACCGACTTTATAGCACGGCGACAGCGAGTAAAGTTGGTTCCCACATACATGTAACATGTTTATAGAGAGCGAATGAAGTTTGTTCTGATTCTTCATACTCTTCATAATCATCCTTCGTTTTAGAGAAAGAGTAGAGAAAGAGAGGGATGGTCGGACCACAGAGGCCTCAGTTCGTTCTCTTTGGATCATCAATAGTGCAGCTCGGTTTCAGCAATGGCGGTTGGGGTGCCATACTCGCTGACATCTACGCTCGTAAAGTACGAACACGCTCTCTCTCTATATGTATGCATATATATATATATCTAATTTCGTATGCTCTATGATCTTTGGAGTTAACGATGGTGTATTGCAATGTAATTTAATTTTACATTTGATTCTATGCAAATTAATACCATTTTGGTTTGAATTTCACTCAATTGTGGCTTCGTTGCCGATGGGAATCAACGTAGGTTAATGTTAGTAAAGTAGTTTTGCTTAAGGCTTAGTAAATTAGGGGCGAATTGTATTTAACACCAAGGCTAATTGATGAAATCGTAGATATTGAAAGCAAAAAATTTCCCTAATCGGTTGGTGATCTTTCAGTACATTTACAATCTTTTAATCGAAGGCATTCTGTGTTTCTTGCCCTAGCACATTCACTATAAAAAACCAAATTCCTTGTTATCCTGTGCTATAACAAAGTAAAAAGCCAATTAGTCCAAAAATTGAGCAGATTTCTATAATATTGAGGTTGTTCTAGGTATCAGTTGTATTCTCTAACTATTTCCAACTTTTCTAGCCCAAGTAAGGATCTAACACATAGAGTGTGTTAAGTCAGGAGTGAAGCCCATAAAAATCTTTTATTTTTTTTTAATTTTTTTTGGATATATAAGAAATTGTCATTTGTTTTTTTAATAAAAATGTTATTGAAAGCCTACCATGTTATATACTGAAATGGTCTTTTTACATGAATTTCTTAAAAATTTTATTTGGAAGTAGTTTTACAAACAAAATCAATAAAAAGCCATACTCCTGTCTCCAGTCTTACACAATAAATTTTTTTCCTATGTACCTTGTAGTTAGATTTTTTAAAAGTATTCTTGAATCCTAGAAATCTAGTCGAATAGATATGTTATCCTTTTGTCCAATGAGACTTGCTTTTGTTTGATGGTTGGGTGAAACATGTTCACAATCCATTTTTCAATTGTGCTAGACGATGCTCATTCTTTCACTGGTTGATGCATTTGAGTTCCATCTTATATCCATGTTAACTCGATGTTGACTTCTCCTTCATTTCTCCGAGTCTTATGCAATAATATCTTTTCCACGATACCTTGTAGGCAGACATAGTTTTGCGAGGATACTATGGTTGGAACTCAAGACGTGCTCTCAAGGTTCTTGATCAAGTTTTTCCGAAGGTATTATATTTTTGGCTGCCAATAAAGATCTTCTCTAAGAAGTAATTTAGCAACCATGCTTCTAAATATCTAACATGTTATATAGACCCATACTGACGGTGTTGGTTACTTCTTCCTGTTGAAAATGTCACACAGTCTTTCAAAGGGGTCTAAAATGGTGGAACTTTGTGGTGGGGTATTCTTAGTAAATTGTTCATTTGCAAGGCCTATAGGAATAGTTTTTTAGGCATCAATGTTTACCGTGGGTTTATTATATTATGCACCTCCATCTATATTTCTTTAGATCTTGTAGAATTCCTTGAGAGCTTGAGATAGCAGAAAGTGGGTTTGATTTGGTAACTGATGTTCAGTGGTTTTGTTGCTTATAGTAAACTTGGTAACTTGATTCTCCTAGCAAGTTGTGAACACATCTCCAATATTAATGATACTGGAAACTGAAAAGAATTACTTTCTGTGATATGAGAATTCCCATATCTTAGTATTGAAATACGGCTTTCATTGATAAGTTACAAAAAACATTACTTCCAGTGCTGTGCTCTAATACCAGCATGTTGTTTTTGTAGGATGCTCCTGTTCAGCCTTCTTTGGTGATCGTTTACTTCGGTGGTAATGATTCTATGGGGCCTCACTCATCTGGACTAGGTCCTCATGTACCACTTCCTGAATATATTGACAATATGAGGAAAATTGCAATTCACCTCAAGGTACCTTCGAACATCTATAAAAGCTGGCTTACCAACACAAGTTAGGTACTTAAGTTAATGTTTCTGCATAATAGACTAAAAAAAAAAAATGGACCGTTGACTTGCTGGAGGGGACTGTGGCAACAGTGAGCACTTGCACCTAAATGGATGGTCAGACCATCTATTAGAAAATTCAAGTTCTGCATATTTTCTTTTCCTTTACTTTTTTATTTTTTATTCTTATGAGCACCGTGAACAAATAATTGGGAATTTTGTAGCTGCATGGTCATCAAGCTTTATCAATTGTATTCCCACTTTGCTTGAGTCATGGGATAAATAAATGAATGAAAAGTGATGATTCTTTAACCCCTGCAGTGACCTTATTTGATGTCAAGGAAAGTGCAGCCATTCCAGGGGAATAGGATTTAAAATAAACTCATCAATAGCTATTGAAAGACATTTAAAAGAAATTATAGTTTCATTTATTTGGGTTTTAAAGTCCCTGATGGTTGAAAAATTTGGTTGATTTTTATTTTCTTCTGTATGTATTACCATGGGAGCACCACCATTTAATCTAGCTTGTCAGGTTTGAGGGTAATGTTTAATGCACATTCTGACATTGTATCTATATATCAGAGCCTTTCAGAGACAATACGAATAATTTTCCTTAGTTGTCCACCTGTCAACGAGGACCAACTTCGTGAAAACGCAAGGTGCTGTGATGCATATTTCTTGTTCCTTGATTTTCTATTTCAGAATCAACTCCTAAAAGTACTGTTTTTTATTTTTATTTTTACAGTAAATACTTTAGTGAGCTAGTTCGAACAAATGAGTTGTGCCGAAGCTATTCAGAAGCTTGTATAGAGTTGTGCAAGGAGATAGGTGTGACGGTGGTTGATCTTTGGACTGCATTTCAGAAACGAGATGATTGGTTGACTTCCTGCTTTACGTGAGTTTTTTTAACCACTTTTCTTTCCCTTGTATCTGTTAGACCATCAAATTAGCAGTACATATCAGAAGACAATGTGAGCTGTTAATTAGGATCTATAAACAATCTAGCTATAAAATTACAGATGGCACTGTTGGCATATATTGTGGACCATCACTCAAAAAAATGTCAGAGAGAGAGAGAGAGAAATTCTACAACTTAGTTAATTCATATGCTGATTTAAAGATACACATTTGTTAGAAGGGCTCCGGAATATCTTGAATACGAGGATCTACACCTATTAAGCAGTATACAGTTTTGCATACATGGCCTGCAGATGAAGGCTGAGATCCAACAAGAAAGAATTCCCATCTGTGAAATAATCGAACTGATTTCTTGATTTGTGCCATTTTATGTTCCATGGCCTACTTGAGGTTGGAAAATGCTCTTAAAAAATGCCTGGTGAAAGAGTCATGAAGTATACACGTTAGAACTTCTAAGTCTGAAGCTTCAAATATGATTTCACTGTTTCCCAACTTCTCCAACGCAGTGCGGACTAGCTGTCACTCGGAATATCTTGGCTATAAAAATGTGCTCTGTTTTGGTTCAAGGAGGTTCCTCTGGCTTTGAATCTGCAAGGGATAATCTTAGTTTACTGATAACGCCTTTTCAGAGTTGATTCCTTCTGAATTTGTGGTAGGATACCTTATTCTTAGGTGCAAGGTTGGCTTCTTCGGACAAGACATTCGTTCCACCAATCTTCACACCACTTTCGCTCCCCTTATCTTTTTCTTTATGGAGTCAAACGAAGAGAACAATAAAGCTGGTGACATTGTAAAATGAAGCAGCTTATTGCCAGTTTTGTTTTTATTTTTATTTTTTATATATGTATAATTTTTAATTTTTTTAATTCTTCAGGGACGGGGTTCATTTATCTGCTGAGGGAAGCAAGGTAGTTGTGGAGGAGATATTGAAGGCACTCAAGGAAGCCGAATGGACACCTTGTCTACACTGGAAGTCCATGCCCACTGAATTTGCTGAGGACTCGCCATATGATCTAGTTGCTGCTGATGGAAAAACCACTATAAATCCATCCGAGTGGACCTATCATCGGGAAATCAAATGGGACTAGATTGGTTTCGAAAATTTTGCCATGCGTTCCCCACTCCCATACCGGAGTTGCCCTTCAGAAATTAAGGAAAATGTTCAATGCCACGGAACAGAATTGACAAAATTTCCGTGCAGCTGCTTATCATGACCAAAATGCATCTCTGAAGTAGATGTTGATATTAGTACATATCATGTGACAAAACATGATATATATTTGAGTGCTTTTTTATTTGATCATTGTTCACTTTCAAATATGTAAAACATTTGAATTTTATAGAGATTCAGTTTCAATTATACTTTGGAGTCTTACGGTAATTCTACTGAAATTGAAATTTGGATGGTGGTATCTAGGATCTGCAAACTGGGTTTGATGCATGTTATAAATAAAACTACTGTAAACACTAACAGGAAACTCCTTGCACAGGGTACGTATTTGCACTTTTTCTGAAGTTATTCCCTCTTCCTCGTCCAATTCAGAACTGTTGCATCTTATATAACAATTATTTTGAGAAAACTGATGTTATCACAGGCTTGATAATGAAAGGTTTTAATAATCAGTCCTCTGCTTCACACACATCTTAACCTGTTTGTACACATATAATGTAACACAATCTAGCTGCTAATCTGTCACAAATAAAATAAACATAGCAAACCCTATATTAAGCAACTTATAATTCAGTGAATAAGACTGCTTTTAAACTAAGATACAAAAATAGAATGGTATAAAACAATCTCTCCCCATTTGTCCGTGATTACATATTTGTATATCTTTGAATATAAAGAGGGTGATCACAAAGGTAGTTCACCACTGTCTAAAATGACAACTTTGCTTTTCGGATCCCCACTCTGTTTCCCTTCAGCTTCAATCTTGTGGATGACATCCATCCCATGCAGCACTTTGCCGAACACAACATGACGCCCATCCAACCTTTAAAGAAGAAACAATTAGAGGGAGACAAGTTCAAAAAATCTGAGACTGAGCACGTAGGCTTAAAGAAAAGCCGAAGCACGGCTTGGAAGGCAACAGAGTTGTTTATCCCAAAAATAATATGCATCATCAGCTAAACTCATACGACAGAGGCACCTTCCATTTCAAGTGGTCCCCTGGAAAGCTCATAAATTAAAATAGTAATGTAATTCATGAACATGCTATCGGATCCAATTGCCTGCGTCAACTGCTAACCAAAACCAAACACGAGCCCTTTGTCCTACTCTAGAGGACAGCAGAACCCATGTAGAATGATAATTTGCTAATAATATGTCGAATTGGTTTTAATGAATCGCAGAACATGATACCTACCAGCTAGTTGTTACGGTTGTGATGAAGAATTGTGACCCGTTGGTGTCTGGCCCGCTATTTGCCATCGAGAGAACTCCTATACTCAAAAAAGAAATTAAACAAGTAATTATCTTTGCACATCATGCTGGTCTTGAGGTTCACTTTTGATCTAATTACTGGCACCTTCTGTGGAATGAACTTGCAAGGAAGCAACTATTTCATATACTTAAATAGGATTGAAACTTACCTGGATCAGTGTGCTTCAGTTCAAAGTTCTCATCGGCAAACTTATCACCATAGATTGACTCTCCACCGCGCCCATCTCCGCGAGTAAAATCACCTCCCTGGATCATAAAGCTGGGTATGATCCTATGGAATGTGCTCCCTTTGTAGTGGAGGGCCTTCCCACTCTTTCCAACTCCTTTCTCCCCTGCAATAAAAGGGATTATACTACAACTAATAGCAAAGCCTAGTTTAGATGGCATGATGCATAAAACAGGTTAAGGTTTCATTCCTCTGGCACAGATATCATCCTAGATGCAGTCAAGGCTTCAAGCAAAATTGGAATCCTTGGATGTGGCAAACTAATTTCCCTTCTATCTCATTGTCGTTTTTCATTAAAGCAAGAAAGCAATGTATGTGCTTATCCATCTTACACATTTAAAAAAAGAAAAAGGAAAAGAAATTCCAAAATTAATGGTCTGATTCACATGTTAAGGTCATGAATTAATTTCTAATTCCAATTTTGACAGAATCCCAATTAAGCCAAAATCATAATTTGGTTGTTTGGATAACTTAAACATTAGAATTTAGAATCAGAATTCTGTGAGACATTGTCAGCAAGATCCCATCTCTAACCAACAAAACTATGACAAGCTAAAAACTTCACCATTGAACATAACAAAATAAATATTGTGACTGTAATCTTCTCTCTCCGAGTCATTCCTGAAACATCATTGAAGAACAGACTCTAGAGAGAGAGATGATAAGATGAAGAAAATTAAGTCACTGAAAACCCACAACTGATTAAAAATGTCACAAGAAGATATACCTTTTTGTTGCTGATGTAGAAAATTAACCAATAATGATGATGGAGGGTCATTTTTCATGGCTGGTGGGTGTGATACTGTGATCTTTAGAGTTCCAGCAGCTTGGAATTCTAATTTGACCCATCCCTTAAAGACCGAAATGGGCGCCTCGCAAGGAATTTGCAATCCCACGGAATTGATGCATAATTATGATTTCAATTTCAGAAGGCCTCCCAAATGCCTGAATGGAATTGAGTGTATTATTTTCACATCTGACCCCCAAACCTACATTCCCATCGTAACCTATAAGAATTTCCAATACCACTAATTTTTTTGTAGGATACATGACTGTCCTTCCACTGCTGCTAAAATAAATAAGTCCGAACCTCAGAATGGGTTATCCACCCCACCCCCAGCATCACCTTCCCAGAAAAAAAGAAGAGGAAAAAATATTTGTACTACTGTTAAACCCAAAATTATGTTACTTGATTAGCATTTAATTTACTTTCACTTTCTACTGTAACTTCCTTTGTTTCTCATCATCTCGAACGACACTTCTTTTCTAGGGAAACAGCTATAAGCCTATAACAAAAACAGATTTGTATTTAGGTGGCCAGAGCACCCCGAGGTGAAACAAGATGGTGTACATAACTTGTACAGTTTGCCCAGGACCCAATGCAGACCTCAAAAAAGTTTTTCCCAGAAGATAAGCATTGCCCAGACGATGCCGTGATTAAACCAGTATTCCACATATAACTCACATTTTATAATTGTCCTATAACATGCCAAACAAGTTGCTTTGAAACATCGCATCATGAAAAAATTATGTTTTTCCTCCATCATTATTCTGTTTGAAGAATTTGTCTGACTCCTTTTTTGTGGTAGCAATCACATTACAAACGACTGAAACGAGTAAAAACTTAAATAATTTGACGTATTTCTATAAATGAATAAACATGTAGGTAAGCAGGGAGCAAAAGTTACTTGGCTACCCGTGCAAAGAGCTCGAAAGTTTTCTGCACAAAAAACATATAAGATCAATAATTATGTTCTTCCATGGTAATGAATCTGAATGGGCATAAATATATAAGGCAATTTTCTCCGAAGTACTCAGGAAATGCACCTGCTGTCTTTGGAACTGTTTTTCCAAAGAGTCCCATGACAATGCGACCTGAGAGCAAAAAGGTAATAAGTATAGTATATCTTAAATATATTTTAGGTTATTGGTAATTATGCTTTTAATCCAAATACGTGCATATATATATAGAGGGAAAACATTTTTCATAGTGAATACATGAAAATTTAAAATATACCCAAGAATGTCCAAAATAGATTTGCAAGGACAATGAATACATGCTTGATTTGCAATGCGTAAGCTACAGAAGATGTGCATGCCATCAAATGCTACAGAAGATGTGCATGCCATCAAATGCTACAGGAATGACTCTGTTCTAACACCCAACAGTAAACAGCAAAGATGAACTACTATCAGGACATCAATACAAAATACCATCACCAAAATAAAGGATTTAAAAAAGAAATAAAGAAAGAAAGAAAATTTTAACATAGGTTAAAAGTACGAGGAGAAATTAACTGAAGTAAACTATCACATAAATCAGAACATTTACACTTGAAATTTTCAACTCCTTGTAATCTAATTACTCAATGGAAAATATGTTGTCAAGACAATAATGACAGCTAGTATCAGCAGAATATTAATCTAGTAGCATTTTTCTACATGCAATTCAGGTAGTATTACAAGCTATCACATTTTCATGACAGGATCTTAAAGAGACTTGTGCTCAATCTCTCACAAAGTGTTACCTTCTTTTAGGTTTAGAATAACTTCTGCATATTGTGACTTCCTTTTCAAGTAACAACAAATCACATAGACACTAGTATATAAAGGGGTGCAATTAAAAAAAGTCAAGCTAACAAGCATGAGGACATGATTATCATAGAAGACACTTTGCGCCAAATAATGCCAAAAGTTAGATTTGTCTTCAGTATTCCCCTTCCAACATCCCTCATAGGCAAGACATACGCTAAGTAATGCCCTAAATACGTGTGTAAAAAGAAACATTACTATGCCAAGACTACCAGCATTCACAATCATTTGCCTATAACTCACCATGCTCATTTGTGAATTCATTGCATGTAGCAATACGAACTGCAGAGGAGTGCCTGTTCAGCAAGGACCTTTTTTTTTCTTTTTGGAGAGATAGAGAGAGAGAGAGCTTCAGGATGAGACGATGGGACGGAGGAGCCAGTTCCCATAGGTGATAGTTTCAGGACGTGCTCTATTCAAGAGGGGGAAAAAATGATATGCTGTCAAATGTAAAAGAGATATTTGTTTTATAAATGACTACCAGACTAAACTACGAACTCAAGAGCTCATTTTTCCGATGATGTAGACTGTTCTCACTTTCTCAAACAAAGAAATTTGATCACAAATATGTTCTATAATGTATGCATCACACAATATGAGGTACAAATGCTGGGTGATGGCCTTTTATCCGTGAAACATCATGTAAGACTATTAAATCCAGATCAAATTCAAAGGTCAACTTACTACATATTTTTGCTTAAATATATTTTGCGATTTTAACTGATCAGCTGCAAGATCATAACTGTCAGATAAACAAAACATACCAGTAGATTTTCCACCAATCTCGACATCAAAGTAAACTTTGTGCGTCACTTCTTCTAAACCCTCCTCCAATGCCTTCGCCTACAAGAGACAAATACATATAATAAGCCATACTGTGCATAACCGGCTTGGTCAATTTGGCATTTAATCGTAGTCACGGCAGAAATTCAATAGAATAGTTTCAAAATCCGCTTGCCATGTTACAATTATTAGTTACAAGAAAGAAAAACAACAATGAGGGATGCGTTTGAAACGAATAACAATAAGTAGTGTAGAGAATATATGACAATGGGAAAAACACAACAATGAATACAATTTATACAATGAGAACTAAAGAGAACAATACTACAAACAATGACCCATACTACCAAAACAATGAGAAATCAATGAAAAACAATGGAGTCCATGGTAACTACAAGTAACAATGGAGTGCACAAGGAGTCAAATTAAAGGTCATGTTGCGTTACATCTTATTCTTACCTCATCCTTGAGCTCGCCACTGAAGACCTTCTTCTCCGTTGAGACTCCGGTATCGCCTAATCGACTCTGAAAACAAAAATCAATCAATCTTAAGAATTTAAACAACACAATAGGGAAATAGAAATTAAAAAAAAAAAAAAAAAATCTAGAATAAGTGAGTGACTTTATCAATCTAACTCAGAAGAAAATAATAATAATAATTAAATAAATTTCAATAAAAAAGTTGTGAATGAATAGAAATGTCAACAATGATAAGAGATTTTATATACTTTGTGAATCTAAGCTCTGAAAGTTCATGGAACAGCATAGGATTTTTGCAATTAACAAACAGGCAATCGATGGATTTGATTGGGCAAAAAATGAAAAAAGACAGTAATAAAATGGAAAAGAGGCGGGTTGAATCGAAAATTTGATTACCACAATGAGAGCTAGGGTTCCGAATAGAACCAGAATCCAGAGAAGTACGACCACAAGCAACCTGGTTCTAGTCGCCATCTCTTTTCACCAGCTTTCAAGTTTTTGACTTTGTGCGTGTTTGTATGTGTGAGAGAGTGTGTGTTTATGTCTGTAAAATTGTAAATAGACCGAATAGTGGATCCGAAGCACTATGCGGATGATAGTATAAGCTGACGATAAATATGTGTACTTTGATCTTTCTTTGTTTATTTATTTTTCTTTTTGGATTGTTTTTTATATGATACTATATTAATTATGTTATTATTAAAAATCAATTCTTATAATTTACTTATTTAAAGCCAATAAAAAAAAAATTGTAAGTAGATTATAAGAATTGATTTTTAGTATAAGCTAAGGAATATGTGTATTTTGATCTTTTTAGTTAAGAATTGTTGGGATTACTTATTGGACATCTTTTACAAGTTGAAAAATTGTATATGGGCCGTGATTGATTATGAAATGTACAAAGAGGCCAAGGAGGGGAACAAAAATAATGTGTGTCAAATACTTTGTTGACTAAAAATAATAATAATAATTTTTTGGTAAGGGAAAAAAAAAAAAAAACGAAAAAGAGTAAAACAAATATCCAACATTCAATCATCTATATTATATTATACTAATATATAAATATCAATACAAATCTTTGTTCTTTATTACACTTTTTCATCTGAATATTATTAAAAATCATTTAGTTACATTTTAAATTTTGTAGCACAAACAATTTGATTGATTTATAAAATTAGTTATGAGTTCTTTCAAATTCTCTCAACCAATACAAATTTTGGAATCCTTATTATATTTATATCCTTCACCTCTCTCTTTTATAAGATATATTACAATTCAATATTTATCTTTCTAATTAAAAAAAAGGCTACGTTACATTAAAATCCCAGAACTATGTGAACTATATATAAACTCAACTGAAAAATACCCTTATGAATTTTTTTTTAATATTATTATTTTTGGGATGTGAGGTTTGATTATTATAGCTTTAATTCCTTAATGTTAAAGGTGACACCTAGTGGATATATCTTTTGCACTATTTATGCTTTCATGCTCTCTTCTTTTTTCTATGCTGAAGTGTGATTCTTGTGCTCAAGAGGAAAGGAATTAGTAAGGAATCCAATAATTTATTGTTTTTGCTGACTCTTTTACTTTCTTACATACCCTATTTGGTAGGATGGATGAAAAAAGTGATTGGAAAGGATTAAGAGAAAAATAGACGAAGCATTTATAAAAAAAAAAGTGATAATGTCTTTGCTTCTTTTACTTTCTTACATACCCTATTTGATAGGATGGATGGATGAAAAAAATGGATGGAAAGGATTGGGAGAGGAATAGACAAAGCATTTATAAAACAAAAAATGATAATGTCTTGGCTTTTTTTAACTTTTTTACATACCTTATTTGGTAGGATGGATGAAAAAAGTGGATGAAAAGGATTGGGAGAGAAATAGACACGATTGGGAGAGAAATAGACGAAGCGTGTTTTGAAAAAAAGTGATAATGTCTTCATTTTTTGTGTAATTGAATGGAAAGGATAATAAATATAATGAATGATTTAACACATTCTTTGTTTAGTTAAATGGAAAAAAACGAGAGATTTATCGTATATTTTTCTTTTTACTAGCATACCTTAATTTATCATCATAACAATCATTGTCTTTATTCCATATGCAAGGGGTCGAGGACTCCTATTAATATACTATGTCGTGATATATTTTATATTGTTTCATCTAAAAAGTCTCAAAATGTCTTCTTTGTATTTCGTTTAACATTCTTGTGATGTGTAAACACTATATTTAAAACCAGTGTTTAACACTAGTTTGATGGCAATAAACTTATCTCCTTTTCTTTTAACTCATACAATCATTTTTTCTCATATACTTATTGTAACAGGGGAATTTGTCCCATATCGGATCTGGATGGAAGAGTAATTGGATATAAATGGGTGGGCATGTAACACTCCCCAACAGCTTAAACTTTTGAGTAAATGAGTAAATGTCCACCCGTTACAATTGATATTAGAGCCAGACCCAATCCTTATTCCTATTGTGTTTATTTATTTTATTTGACACAATTTTTACAACGTACTCACAATAAAAGAGTTAAAGATATCTTAAAGTTTTATAAATAATATTTACATATAACTTTTAATGTAGCAATATATTTTGGATTATTAGTTATTATTTAATCAAGTTTGCAAAAGTATCTAACAATTTATCCCACATTTATTAAAGCAACAAATCAAAACGACATACCAATATATATATATCATGGTTCGTTGTATCGTTTGATACACGACGTATCAGTTCACACACGTACTTTTTTTTAAGTTCGATACGCAATTTGTATCGATTAGTTTATACCGACTTTGTATAAATTCGTTTACACCGCGATCATACCCGATACTGCGAACCATGAATATATATATATATATATATATATCTACTAAACTTCATCACTAAAAAGTAATAATACTTATGGAACAATTTTTTTTATTTTCCTTTTTTATTCCGTTCAATTTTAAAAGATGAAAAAATGTGAATAAGTAAAAATGTTTCATCCTTCATTGTTTTCTCTCTCTCAACCTTTTCTTTCAACCAAACAATAAAATAAATTGAAATCCTTCTCAAGACAAACTACCACTACACCAATTTTTTTTTTCTTTTTTTTTGAAAGATAATTTTTGTCATTCAAATTGAACCACCCTAATTTTCATATAAGCTAACCATTCAAATTAGATACCTAGTTTCCTAACCAAGTAAGTCAAACTTTTGTAACTTCAAATACCAACCGTCGAAGTGACACTTCGGAAAAAGATCCCAAGCCTTTTAACTAGCATGTTGAAGCGGATGTCCCCTTATATCGCTATTTATGCGGGTGGGACCCACAGTGATTGTCTCGAGGTTAGCTTCTAGACCATATTATTAGATATTTTGTTTGGTTGGAACGATAGCTTAAGGGATTCCAAAAGGAAAGGAAGAGGGATGAAAGAAGCATTTTTAAGAAAGGGTATGTGTTGTGTAACTTTTATCAGTTTGATTGAATTGAAGCGGACAGTGAAAACGATGGATAGGGTGATAATTTTTAATGATATCATTTTACCAATAGACTCTTCATTATATAAATTTATAAAAAACAAATATGTATTTTTTTTTTAAGTTTAAAATTAGTATTATATATTTTCATAGTTATTTACTTTATCCTTATTCTCATTTATCTAATAAGAAAAATTTTATTGCGTCCGTTGCACCGTACAACAGGCACATCCAACCGTTCGTACACGACATATGTAATACAAGCGAATAAAATTTAAAGTAAGGAGGGATATTGCTTCCAACTAAACACGAGAATGCTCATCCACCCCTTCTCTTTTATATTATTTCCCTATCGATTCTTCCATTCATATATAATACTTCTTCCGTCTCATAAAAAGTGTCATTTTTAAAAAATCGTGATTCTCACAAATTGAACTGACATGGTTCCCCTTTTTTTAGGACGGATGTAGTATTATTATTAGTTTGACAAATCTAAAATATAAATATATTTTTTTCTTGACAAGAAACTCAACCACTCATTTGTCGTTTAAAGGGGATTGTGTTTTGGAATTTGAGGGGAGGGCAGCTCCGGTGCAAATTATGAGATTGTTTTGGTTTTCTCCATTGATAAATGACTCAAGACCTTTAATTTTAAGGGACATTATAGTCATTTTATATTATATTAAAAGATTTATCGAGGAAAGTTAGGTTAGATGTAATTTGCAACTTTTTAAGTAGTATATATGAAGGTATTTTTATTTTGCCACAAGTGATAGTTTCGGGTTTAAAGCAATTTTGTCTAAATACATTTCCAAGCAAATAAAATTGGTTTGAGAATAATTTGAAAGAATAGTAATGTAATATTTTTCTAATTCTATGGTAAAGTCATAAAAGAAAAAAAGAAAGAAAAAACCAATGATAAATGTCATTATGTCACCAATCAAAGTATTGAATGAAAAAGAGATTTTCTCATGCAAAAGAAAAGGCAAAAAAATGCAAGGCATTTTTCCAAAAAAATAAAATTGTGGGAAAGAAAGCATGACAACAATCTGGTAAAAAGCGAATACTTTCGTAACTCAACGATTGGTTGCTCCCTGTTGTTCTAGAAAGCCCGACTTCAAACTTTCGCACCTATTAAATTCTACATTCTTGCCTTGAAAAAAAAAATTATTATTAAAGGGAAAAATAAAAATAAAAATTCTAAAAGAAGATCAAGTGTGGTTGAATTAAGTAAAATAATTATGCTAAATAAAAAGACTAACATGAAATTTACAGGTCAAAAGATTGAACTTCAAAAGCTCCTTTTTTAATGGAGGTTCTTTAATTCTCCCAAAAGGCTCTTTTCATCTGTCTAATAAAAAATGAATAGAGAAGTTACTTTTACTCTCATAATGCACCATTCCATGAACACAAATGCTGTAAAAAGGATAGGCTTTTTACTCTTTGAAATTAGGTTATGTTAGAGTAAGTTTTTGCTCTATAAACATAGCTCACTAACATTTAACATTTTATATGATATATATATCGATGTTCCATTCAAAGGAATTTTCTAATTCCTAATATACAATGTTCATGAAAACTCCATCAATTACTGCAGGTATTTTACTCTCTATCTTTCACACAAATATACAGATGATTGCAAAAATTACTTAGTTCAAATTTTGCATGTTGCTCCTGGCCAGTTGAAATTTGTTAGCGATAAGAAATAGAAAGTCGAAGACTCTATATTCATTTAGATACACTCAATTAAGAGTGATGTAAGATCGAATTGAACGGAAGTATTCGACTCTCCATTTTGTTCAAACTCTTTAACGTGTGTGATATTTATTCTTTTTTTTTTTTATTATAAGTTGTGTTATAGTTTACTTTTTGTATGAGTTTCACAATGTGTAGACTAACCATGATAAGCCGGATTTATGTTAAGCTTGAACCTATCAAGAAGAGATGGAGCAATCGATTCGATTTAATGAGGTCAGCAGGATTTTGCATTAAAAATAATAATAAAAACAAATTAATTGAGTCTATAGTTAGACATGAAACACTTATTTTTCAAACTTTAAATATCTTTTTAAGCGGGACTAAGTTTGTCGTCTATCTAAGAAAGACAGTGTAAAACTTTGATTGATTCGTATTCTCTGTACTAAATGAATTTTAATATGAAAATTTTTCTTTATTATAATTCTCGTGTACTATCTTTTCAAACGCTTAGGTTCACGGCGTTACTAGAAAAAAATTATAAATTAGGAAAAAAATTATATTACCCCCGTTACATCGTGCAACGAGTACATTCAACCAATATGTACGCATAGATATATGTATTAGATGAACTGTCCGCAACGGCCGTAATAAAATTTTTCGTAGGCCTCATGACAGCATTGTTGAAAATAAAATGGACCGTAGATACCTCCCACTGTTCACATAATTTGCACATAGCATATCCTGAGCCAGTTGAAGAAGTAAAGTTGATAACCATTGCCACCAAACAAGAAAAAGATAAGGGTAGAGAAGACCCTCATGTCTTATCGAATGATTTCTCTTGCTTCTCCATCACTAAGATAAGTGAATAGAACCCCATTTAAATTTTTTTTCCCAAAATTTGAAAATAATAAAAAATAAACACACCACTACACTCTATCATATGTAACTGGATAGAAAAATGTTTAAGAATCGGTTTTATGTATGGATATACACTTTAATTTACTTAGATGCATTCCATTTTCATACTTGTTTAATTGTGATATCCCATCAAAATTTATTATGACCGTTTATGCGTAGCATCAAATAGTTCATATGTAGTATCAAATACTAATGGTCGGTAAAAGAAAATAAATGCCAAAAAGATTATAATAAATGTTTTTACTTTCAAATGTCTATATCCATATCATATTACTTTATAAATTTTCATTTTTTTTGCAATAATTACATATGTGTATCCCGTAATAAATTATGAGATATTTTAAAATCATCCTTGATTTTTTTTATTTTTTAAACCAATGATAAAATTCACGCGCTGAGGCACCAACAAAAGTGTTGAATGAAAAAAGAAATTTTGTTAACATTTTAAAAAGAAAAGACAGGGCATTTTCCCAGAAAAAAATACGGCGGGAAAGAAAGGAAACCACCAGGAACAAAATAAAAACACGATCATAGGAAAAACCAGAAGAAGGGCAAGTGTTGTTGAAGCAAAAAAATACGGAGTAATAATTATCCTAAAATAAATAGACTAACCTGAGATTTGAGGAGTTCTTGTTTAATGAAAATACTTGTTCAACGATTAAACTTCGTGTTTTAATGGAAGTTTCTATAATTTAATGTTTCCTTGAAACCCTCAAAAACCCAAACACAATTAACGTTGACGATTACTTCAAGAATTAGTCAACCCATTTCTCTTTAGTTTATAATTTAGGAAATTCAACTGAATCCGAGTAAAGTCAGTGTTTGTGTTTGTATATAATTAGTGTCTATATAAAAATATGCAGAGAGGGAAAGAGGAGAGAGAGAGAGTTGAAGAAATGGGGAGCTACAATTACAAGATGTTTGGGTACTTCAACCGGAAGTTCAAGATCAGCGAGGCGGAGCCACCGCCGGAGGTCAAAGAGGCGTTCGCGACTTACTCGGGCGGTCGGACCCACATGTCAGCAGGCGGTCTGCGCCTTTTTCTGATCGAGTTTCAGGGAGAGAGAGGGTGCACCGTCTCTGATGCGGAGCGAATCATTGGGCAGGTTCTCCATCGGCGACACCACTTGACCCAGTTCACTCGCCGCGGTCTCACCCTTGACGATTTCTTTCACTACCTATTCTTCGACGATCTCAATCCCCCTATTAAGTCTCAGGTACTCTCTCTCTATATATATGTATTTCACACACTATATATATATATATGTTTGTGGGTATATATAAGTGTTTATCAAGAAAGTTGGAAATGATGATGGAAACCTTGAAGTTTTACTTTGTTTTTTGTTATTTGGGGTCTTGACGAAACAGTGAGTTACTTAATTGAACGAGCACGTTGATTTTGAAAAAAAAGGGCATGTTTGGCTAAATTCATGTGAAAATGTATATTGAATTTTCAAGAGAACGTTGTTTTTTTAAAAAAAGGCATGTTTTTCCCCCCCACACATATATATCTATATCACACACTGTGTATTTATGTGTGGGTATATGTAATTGTAGATCAAATGGTGATTGAAACTTTGAACTTTAGATTTTTTTTTGTTATTTGGGGTTTTGAGGAAACAAAGAGTTACTTAATTCAACCTCATACAACTATTTGGCTAAATGGCTAAATTAAGGTGAAAATGTATATTTATTGATACTGTGTGTGTTTGTGTTTGTGGGTATATATAATAAGTTTATATCAATAGAGTAAATTACTTAACTGAACCTCATACAACTATTTGGCCAAATTAAGGTGAGAATGTATCTGCCAAAAAAAAAGAAGAACTAAGGTGAAAATGTATATATATTGAATTTTGAAGAGCACATTTGTTATGAAAAAAAGGCATCCTTTTTCGTAAGGGTAGGAAAAAATGGAACACTGGGGAGAAGCTAGAAGCGGCACAAGCTGGGGGAATTAATATGAGAGAAGGTCAGTTGAGATGGTTCGTTCAATGTAACAAATACAGCTAGTTTGGTAAGAAAGAGTGACATGAAATTTTAGAGTTTTAGTTGAGATGGTTCATTCAACTAAACAAATACTTTTTCACATAATTTTGAGTTTTATAAGCGAAAAAGTATGCTAAAGTACAATTTATTTTGTTCATGGTGAAGTAGTATAGACTGTTTCATCTAATTCAAACAATCTGAACTATAAATTGTTTACAATTATGGTACTTAGGCTAACAGAAAAGTGATGGCAAAGACATCATATCTTTCTTGCTGTTTTCTTCATATAGTTTTGCAACAATAATTTTTCTGTGGACAAAGTTCCCCATAATCCTAGAGAAGAGGGTGGAGCATTTGACTGGGTAATCTGTAAATGCTTCTGCACCTCTGGCATAGATTGTTAGCCTCATAGTTTACAATTTTTATTTTCTAAGAGTCGAAAGTATACTTTGCTGATGACGGGTGGTTTTAACAAGAAGGGGGGAAAAAAAAAACCAAAAAAAACAGCTAATTTACACCGGCTCTTATAGAACTGAAATGTTTAGTTTATAGTCAACATTGTTAAATATGATTTCCCTTGATAAAACTCATTTGCTGACTCATCATCAGCAGCAGCAGCAACATTGTTTTTATTATCGCAAGTATGATTTCCCTTGATAAAACTCATTTGCTGTTATATTTGCTTAGATACTGACTGATTAGGAACTAGGATAGTTGGGTTTCTGCAAAACGAATTTATCTTTTGCATTTCTTGCTGTTGAATGTTTGCAATCATGCCTTTTCTGGCATACAACTTGGTGATTAGGGTTCATACATCGTACTTTATGCATTTTGGTACCCTCTAATTTCAGTTCTATTAGTTTCCTTTGATCTCTGTGTGTGTATGTGCGTGCATGTGTTCAATATGGAAATGCAATTGTAGATTTGCTCTTACAGATTATGTCATTCCAGGTACACCATGACATGACTGCTCCATTGCAACATTATTTCATATATACAGGTCACAATTCCTACCTAACTGGGAACCAACTGAGCAGTGATTGCAGTGAAGTACCTATCATAAGAGCTTTAGAAAGGGGTGTGAGAGTTATAGAACTAGATATATGGCCAAATTCTGCAAAAGATGACGTTCGTGTTTTCCATGGAAGGTATGAACTTATTCCATAATCACCTCAATTGTTATTATTATTTGTGTGTGTGTGTGTAAGGGAGAGGAGAGAGGGGGGAAGCCTTGTCCATCCACATGCATGTTGGTTGTATCTTAAGGAGTTTGTTGGTGTACCTTTGTCATGGATGGGAATGACAATGAGAAAAATGAACATTATCTCTAATTGAAAGGTCAGCTTTAGCAAGCAGTTCATGGATATTATTTGGGAAAGGGGAAGCCTTTTAGAAATTGGCTTCTTTGTCAAATGTCTTCAATCAATTGTGCTTTGTTTATACAGAAGATATATGTTATAGCATTTAGCAATAATAAATAATCTCAGAATTGTAGAACAAAACTCATTTTTCTATCAACATTCTATTGCAGAATACGCAGCTAAATCCACAACAGTTTTGATTGGTGTGTGTAATATTTGTGTTACTTTCATACTAAGATCAGTTCGCTAGTCCACCATGGCAGTGCTTTCTGCCTCTCGTCTTCTTTTCTTTTATTTTTTCCTTATTTCTTTTTTAAATACACGATCTCATTGTTTTGGCAATATAGTGCATTAACCTGATTTTTTAAACATGAATGTACTCGAAAATTGGAACATTTTACTTTTCTTAAGTTAGTTCTTGTTTTTGTTTAGAAACTCTCTCAACTTCTTCTGCAGGACCCTGACAACTCCCATATGTCTCCTCAATTGCTTGAAGTCTATTAAAGAGCATGCTTTTGTCACGTCTCCATACCCTGTCATAATAACTTTAGAAGACCACCTTACACCAGATCTTCAGGCTAAGGTTGCACAGGTTAGCTTTCCTTGTCCTTCATGATTTAGATTCAAATAAAGTTTATTTCAATCTTTTTCTTGTAATTGAAATTAAATCTGTCTCTAGATGGTCACTCAAACGTTTGGAGCAATGTTGTATTACCCTGATTCACAATCCTCAGAAGAATTCCCTTCTCCAGAAGCCTTAAAGCACCGAATTATTCTTTCAACCAAACCACCAAAAGAATACCTTGAATCTAAACAATCCAAGGACAAGGGAAATGCCTCAAGTAATGAGAGGGATTCATCTGAAGAAGAAGAATGGGAGGAGGAGACAGCTGAAATCGAATCTGATAACAGGGTGAGCTGAGTGCTAAAATTTATTTCATCAAATTAAAAAAAAATTTAATTTACTTCACCATTTATAACATTTAAGGTGCTTTGGTTGTGTCATAGCAAAATAAAGATCATCAGGACGAAGACGGTGACAGCTGTGATAAAAAGTTGTGTCAGCCAGGAGCACCTGTATACAAGCATCTGATTGCAATTCATGCTGGGAAACCAAAGGATGGGTTGAGAGCGGCTCTAAAGGTTGGAATTGATAAAGTAAAACGTCTTAGTTTGAGTGAAAAGGCACTTGAAAAGGCTGCAGCATCTTATGGAACTGACGTTGTGAGGTATGTGCTAAATATCTGCAAGAAGTGTTAACTATTTTAACAGTTATTTATTTTATGTCGGCTGACTGTGTCTTAAATTCTCTGTTTCTTTTTCTAGGTTCACACAAAAGAATATTATGAGGATATACCCAAAAGGAATGCGAGTTACCTCCTCAAATTTCAAGCCTGTTATTGGGTGGATGCATGGAGCTCAGATGGTCGCATTTAATATGCAGGTTAGTTTCAAAGTTATGTTTTTTTTTTTTTGATAAGTAGTTTCAAAGTTATGTTGTCTACTTAGAATCATACTTTTCGTGCTATTGGTTAGTTTCAATTTCAATTATGTTTTATATATTTCTTTTTCTTTTTCTTTTTATTTTATCTTTGTGTTGTTTGATTATTAAGTGAAGCATGTTTACAGGCTTTAATCTTTTCAAGTTTGACACAAGTTAAGTTGCGTTTTCTTTTGAACCAAATTAATACACCAGACGTGTACTTATGTTGGAATCTATCCATGCACACAGCTCAGCATCTATATGTGGTTGGATAAGTGACAATAGCACCCACAACAATGATTAAATGTATCTTGATAAAATTCTGTTCTTGTCTGGATGCATCTGAGTTTAGATATGGAAGGTTATGATTATCTTTTTCATTGTAAGTAGGCTTTGCTTTTTCATTGGTTATTGTTGGTTCATTTCAAATTAGAGTTTCTTTGACTGCCAGGAAAACGGCCCTTTTCTTTACCCAGAACAATCTATAGATGCAGGTGAAGAAAGCCTTCTATGGATTTCACATTTTTTTAAACCTGTTTTCACACTCCTTTTTGGAGGTATAAACTTTTTATTATAATTCTATCATAACTGAGTCAAATATTGGTTATCAATTGACATATTATATGCATACACAGAATGATAGAGAAATCAAGATTCAGTGTTAGGATCAATATCAGCTATTTATTCACATATGATATGCACACACAGAATGATAGAGAAATTATTATTTTGCCAACATAAGAAGAAAAATTTAATTCAGTATTAGAAGCCTAGCATAATGGTTGTGTTAAAACACTAATTGCTTCAAAAGCTTAAGCTGTTAGAGAATAGGCCCACGCCCAACAATATATAGGTTTGGGGGTATATTGCCTTTAATACTGAGGCTAATTGGACCTCCCTTTGAAGTTTAGAATGATAGTATAATTTTGTTACTTATGCTCTAGGAAATGGGACTGTTTGGAAGTTGGTAGTCAAGCACCAAAAGCAATTTTGAGAAACTTCAATTTCTGGAAGTTCCTTTCCTGTAGGAAGATTACATCTGCCACATTGAATGAACCCTAATGGAAGAAGCAGGAGGTCGGCGAAGGTTCCAAAATATTTTTATTCGTAATTTCCCTGTTAAGTCTGGCTTTCTTATACCAACTCTCTTCCTTTAGGTAAGCTTAAAATAGACCAAGCTACCTTTGCTCCACTGGATTTCATGCTAACCACCTTCTAGAGGATCTCATGGTTTGATTAGGTTGGCTAATAAACTTTTTAGGAGGATGAAGAAACTTGTCTAGTAGATTTGAATACGGAATAGGACTCTGATTTGCGACTTCACTCTGGACAGCATTCTGTCAACTAATTCCTTACAATCAACAGCTCTCAATTTTGAGGACGTGAGAGTTATGCCGAGGTATGCAATTGGGAGGTCATAAATAGGAAACCAAGGCAATCAATAATACCTTGTTTCTTGGAGACCACCGAAGCAGAAATGAATAGCCTATTTGACAGATGCAGCAGATATGGAATCCCATGGTTTGAAGAGCATGATACCATCTGCAAAACAAAGATCAGATAGAGAAGAACTCCTGCAGCTCCAGTGTAGTTTAAACTTGGGTTACTTATGGATAAAATTCTTTGTAATCATGGAAAATACATCCATCACCAGCACAAAAAGGTAAGGGGACATGGGATGCCCTTACCTGAGCCTCCTAGTCCCTGGAAAGAAAACTTTTAATCCATTGAATCATTATGTCACCTTTTCACACTATGGGGCTCCATTTGTTTGGATGTAAAATATTTTTCAGAAATATATATATTTTTATTTTCTGGTGATTGGTTATTGTAAAATATTTTCGATAGAAAAAAATTATTAAAACCTAACAAAAATAACTTAACCATCAATTTTTGGCAAGTCATTTTAAATGCCCCGCCCGATGGACTCGACCTCAACCACGACCTATACCCTTGCCAAACACTGAAAAACAAAAATAAAAAAATATTTTCCCTGAAAGAGGAAAATATTTTTCGAGGAAAATATTTTATATCGAAACAAACGGAGCCTAGATGTCAAGATAAAAAGGGATCATTTCGATTCTTAAGCTTTTCCAAGGAAGGTGTTTGATGTTTCATTTTGTTAGACGAGAGTTAAAACCACCAGTCTACTATTATTAGAACTTGTTAAAAGGTTTGCTTTTGTTTAAATTCCAAATGTCATGTTAGCTTGTGGTCTGCCCCTCTGCCCACTAACTTAATAAATCCTTGAAATTATAGGCATTTATGTCTAACTTTTTAATATCCCCTCTCGGCTGTCCCCTTTCAATTTTTTTTTAAAGGATCTTGCTACGAGGTTAGCTTTTTGTTTATTTGTATATATATGAATTGTTTTGCAACAGGGTTATGGCAAGTCACTCTGGATGATGCAGGGGATGTTTAGATCCAATGGAGGTTGTGGTTATGTGAAGAAACCTGATTTTCTCATGAAGAAAGATCGAAATAATGATGTATTTGATCCTAAAGTAACACTTCCAGTACAGAAACATTTAAAGGTATGTGAAGCAACATGGCTTCATATTGAATTTCATTTTCCTAATGACAGTTTTAGAACATACATTTTACTTGACAGGTGAGAGTATACATGGGGGACGGATGGCGTCTGGATTTTAGCCACACACACTTCGATAAATACTCACCACCAGACTTCTACACAAAGGTCGGTAAGAGTCAATTGATTTTTATCTTTCTTTTTTCTTTCACTCTTTTGCCTTAAAACTAGTGTTTTGATCAAAGGATGTGATGATCTTTTACTATTGAACTTCATAATTGCTGTCAATTACCTCACATGATGCTATACTTCTTGTGATCTATGCAAAATAGATTTAGGTGGACATATTTTGACGTCATTTAGTTTGATTCATTGAATGAATATATCGGTCTTCATCAGAATGAGGAGCATAGCATTTAATGAGGGTGGTGTTGAATGAACATCATTACATGTAAATTTTAGTTGCATAATGTTACAAGGGGAGACTCTTCACCCCTGTGACACATAATTACTTCATCATTGTCCTTGCCTTATTCCCAGATTAGTGGGGTTGGCCACATAATTTTCTTTTTCCATTATTTTCATCCTATGTTCACGTCGGGCGCCCTCTTTGCCTCCTACCATCTACGCAAATGTCTCTCTCTTCTCACCGGAGCATAACTAATTCTGACTGGATATAAAACTGTGTAATGGGTAAGGACCATAAATTATCATAATCATCATCCTTGCCTGTGCCCCCGTACAAACGGGATTGGCCGCATGAAAAATATTGCTTTATTACCTGAGAGATTCGAACTCGCTCGGGGAGACCCCGTCATCTTCATTATTCTTGCCTTTATAATGACTATAAATAGACACAGTAAATGATCTGGTGTCAGTCCTTGCTTAAAATTTTGTGACTGAGGAGAGAATATGGTAGAAATGAAAAAATCTATGCTGAAAAATTCAAGGTTATGGGCACACTTGAGAAATATCAATAATAAATCTGAATGGGAAAAGAATCAATGTTAGAACAAAAGAAGCTTTAGTTATTATTGTACAATTTTGTCAGAAAGAATTATATGGGATTCAAATTGAACTACTCTGATCATTTGTAGTATCAGTCTCAACTGGATAAAGAAGTCTTTAACAACCTACTGGTGAATTTGTCTGGCAGGTTCATATAGTAGGAGTGCCTGCAGATGCAGCAAAGAAGAAAACAAAGGTAATTGATGATGACTGGGCACCTGTTTGGGATGAAGAATTCACATTCCCTTTGACAGTTCCAGAGTTGGCTTTGCTTCGGATTGAAGTCCGAGAGTATGACAGGTCGGAGAAGGATGACTTTGGCGGGCAGACATGTTTGCCTATCTCAGAGCTGAGATCTGGGATTCGGACAGTCCCACTTTATGACAAAAAGGGAGTACAACTTAAATCTGTAAAGCTTCTTATGCGGTTTCAGTTTGTATGAACTGCATGGCTTTTGTTCATTCTACAATACATGCTTGTCTCCCAAGAAGGCCCTGCCTTCCAAACATTCAATTAGTAACCGGTGGAAACGGGAGGATCCCACGTCAAGCACCATGGGCGAAGAAATTTGCCACACACACTTCACTGTATCTGGTTTCTGTCTTTAGTAGGATCTGCACAATCCATGTAAATTGTATGGTGATTTTAATTTGGTAATGGATGAGAACATTGTCTTGTACTCATATTGTTCTGTTTGTTGGATTTATGGTGAGGAAAGCTTATGGCCATCCTTGCAAAACAGACATTATTATTTGGTTTTTGGTTGTATTCTTCTAATCATACTAATGCATCTTCAGGGAGCTCGGCTCCTTTGTGGTCCTTTTCTTGCCAATATTTCCTTCAACGAACAATTATTCTTGCCAAGACAGATTGCAGAGAGTAAGGTATTTGACATTCATGCAGAAGGTACTCCGACGACTTATTTTCTTCTGCAAACCACCACGGATTTCTCAACTCCCAGTTACAGTCAGACAACGAACCACAATCCAAGAACCTTTATGCATTTCCTGGTTCAGAAAATAATGTAGATAATAATTCCAGACAGTAATAATGAAGCGCTGCTGAGAAGTGTATAAACTGCAAATAACTATTTGTCAAGCGTGAGTCCACAACACTAGAAACATGCATGAGCAATCACCAGGATGCCAGCATATAAACAATTACAAACGAATCAGAGCTTTGACAAATTTACATTTCACAAATTCTATACGAGTGATGCTGCAGAGGTTGGGCTTCATCAATGGCTCCCGTGCTCAAGATGATACTATACAAAAACTTATGAAGTCAACAAAAAGATGATGCCTTTGAACAAAAAGAGCCATTTGAGTGCCCCCAAGACGAATGCTACTTTCAATTTGTACAATATCTCTTCTACTTCGTCCAACAAGAAGCAGGGATTCCTTGCTTTTCAAACCACTCCGGCATGCGGAACCTTTCATAAAGCATCGGTCTCACATCCTTCTGTTGATAGAGGTGCTTGAGGAGTGGAAGGAGGACGTCCAGAAGCTGATCAACTCAAAAAAGACGGATCAGTAAATGGTGAGTAAAGGGCCAAGAATTGTTGGGCCAGATCCCAAAAAATATTTATTGATGTAATAACTCTTGTTACCTGTTCATCATGCGGTTGTCCTGCAGAAAATGGAACACATGGAATTCCGTTCAGTGGTTGCAATAAGAAACTGAACGGGTTGTTATCAACAATAACAGTTCGGCAGAGATCCTTTGATAGGCAGGATAGATCCTTGACATGTTCCCGATATTCCCTGTAATTTATGCCAGGAGGAGTTATTTTAACATATAAAAACCTTACGCAACCAAATGCAGGTTCAACAGTTCGATTCCTTTAATGATAATAACATTAAGACCCAAAAAAAAAAAAAAAACTGTGCAGTGACAAGAGCACAAGCTGTCAAGCATGAAAACTTGGGTACAACTTAACTGTTAGTATAACCAATTACAATATGTTCAGGTTATACATATGTACCTAAGTTGTGTGAACATGTGTTTACACACTCAAATCTACATATAGAGAATATGCAGCAAACAGAATGAACATAAAGCTCATCCACCTAGTAATAAAAATGAAAATGAGGATCATATGATAGCGAAAAAAAAAATAAACAGCATAATTAGTACAAGAATGAAACTGAAAATACAACATTTCTTCACATCTACAACTACATGAATCACTTGACATTTGTCTTTTTTTTTTATTTTTTATTTTTTTATTTTTTATATGCATAACTTGAGATGTAACTCTAATATATGACACTGGGGCCTTAATAAGCAATACTGAAATCCAGAAAGCATAGAAAATATATATAATTTGAAATACCGGCAACAAGTTGTAACCTTAACTTTTGAGAAACCATATATAGAGAGCGGGCATTGACACAATGATAAGGTTTTTTTTTTGGTTAAAAGCACAATGATAAGGTTGCTCCGGATTTGAAACGCAAAACCACCTCTTTGCATGCGAAGGTAAGGCTGCGTACATCTGACCCTGGCAGGAATCTCGCGCACCAGGCTGTACTTCTGAATAACTACTTTATATTCAACCTAAGACATAGCAGATGGACTTGCACAAAATAACATAACATATTATCAACTGGCTGGTTGGACATCCCACAGAAATTGAATTCGTCCAACGTGTTTTCATAAGGTTTGAAATGGGTCCATAATGTTTCAAACAGGATTTATTATGAGGACATCACCAGAAATATCAAAACTGAAAAAAATAGGAAGGAATTTTCTACTAAATCTTAGCTCAGGTACTTCAGGAAGTAGATTATTTTGATGCACAAAACTCATAAGAATAGACAGACACTGAAGGCGATTGTGGATCCTGAATCAAGAAGGCAGTGCCTTTTTCTACATATATTTCAGACAAACGTGAATTATTAGTTAACATGTCTTGACCTGCAATTAATGGTAACCTTCACCCTCGGGTTCATTGCATTTCAAAAGGATTTTTAGTCAGAACTACTTAGGATATATCTCCAAGAAGTCACGTTCATTAGAAATTAAAGCCTTGTTTGCTATAATCAAAATTACTTTCAGGGAAAACTTTCCTTAAAAGAAAAAGTCAATAGAAAAGTAAATATTCCCAACACACCACAAGACATCCATTGTGATAAATGTGCATTACATTATTTACAAAGAATAAGATCATGAAAGATTTTTCCATCTAGATAATGGAAAAAATAAAAAGCAAGGAATTTGAACTATAGGTTTCCAAGGTAGAATTTTAACTTTTACAGGACTAGTGTTAGACGATTGAGACTATTTTTGGCTAACTGCCATCACAGGGCGAGAATTTGGTGCGAAAAATTGGCCCCTGTGACAACTAGGATGATTCAAACATTCGAAACCCTCCAAGTAATTCACATGCTTCATAATTTATAAGGGGATAGTATTATCCAAATTTCATGGGCAATAGCTCTTCAAAAGTTTCTTATGAAAATTGATAACACATTAAGCAACAATAACACAAACAAAACTCAGTGTCAGACAGTGATATAACGTATAAAGTAACCACTTAGTGTCTGACATGGCAACCTAAATGGGAAGAAAAGGCAATGTATAAAAGATATAAACCTGGTTGGTGTCAAACACAGATTGGCTTCCAACACATAAAAGATGCTGGAGAAGAGGTGCCATTACCACAGGCCTTGATTGAGGAAAAAATAAAATGAAAAAATAGTAAAGCAAAGCCTGGAAGGATACAGTAGAAAAGCAACAGTGCTTACGTGCTAATTGTTGAAGGCCGATACAGTCTAAGACTAAATCGATTTTCAACATCGATTTTATCAACAAGTGGTCTAGCATAACCTGTGCGCATACCAATATGGCAAATTTTAAAAAATGTAAAAGCAAAAAGAGGAATCAAAAGAAAAGAACCAAGATAGTGGCAAAGTAAAGGGCAAACCTTCAAGACCAGCAGTAAATAACACAAGCTCTGCAAATTCACTGAGTTGTTTTAAAAATTCTTGTAATCCTGGACGTTCGAACACTGTAACATAGTTGACCTTAGGCTTGCCTTCACATTCCTTCAAACCCAACATTTGAATACTAAAATAGATTCATTTAAAAATAAAAAAAAAATAAAAACCAATTACCCTATAAATTATGGATAAAAAATAAATAAGACACCTTATCCAAAGAAACACATTCCAGCTCAAACCACTTCAACCCAGCTTCTGAAGCTTGGTTACGAATAATAGCGGGCAAACTAGATGTTTCATATGAACATACTAGTGTTTCATCCAAATCAAGAACCACCTGCATGCAGATATGCACAAGTCAAACATAAAATTCACTTGCAAGTGCCAGAAGTAGTTTCACAATATAATCTAGTATGGCCACTCAGCTGATGCAATAAATTTAAAACAAAAAAAGGTCAGTGCAGTGCCCAGTGGTTGTCTGTTAAGTATTTTCCTATCCATTCAGCTTTTTATTGTTTTCATTTTCTTCTTTTAACATGAAACGGTACAATCCGCAGTCATTGTAATTTGCCCTTAACCAATTAAATAAATCAAAAGCAAATGAATATATCAAATGACAAATTGGAGAATACTAATTCAAGTTTCAATGCTTAGAACCAGTTGGAAAGTAGTATGGAAAAGTGTATTTCTTTTGTGGTAAAGTTCCCCCAATATTCACTGCCAATAAGCTAAATCATATATAAAGGCAAAACAAAGAAAAACCAAATGACAAGTTGTTGCCAAACATATCCGCAGTGATCATTTGCCCCAATATGCCCCGCTAATTTATTTGTAGTGATCATTTGCCCTTGGGTATGTATCCATTTCTCCAGTAGTTCCAAAGCACATAACTTGGGTTAGTGGTTAGAGGGGACGGTGCAAGGCTCAAACATGCGCTCTCGGACACTGGGGAGCAACCCAACCACTCGGGTAGCACGGCACTTGCAGTCAGTTGTCATCTAAGTCTAGTCTCAATAGAAAAAAAAAGTTTGCTCACAAATATGGAACTCAAAAAACACTCATTACTGAATTTCCAGCTGATTCTTGATTTTACACTTGCTACACCTAAAATCAAGTCAAGCACTCAGCTAATTTCTAAAAAAAAAAAAAAGCTAAAATTTTGCCCTAACAAATAGAACAAAAGGTCAATATCTAACCTCAAAATTTCAAACATCAAACAAGTATGAAGTTTTCTCTGGAATCTCTACCCCATAAAACATATGTATCAGTTTGTTTCTACTCTACCTAATAAATTTACAATACTCATCTCCAAATACAAACAAATGTAAAGCATAACCACATGACAAAATTAATTCAACAATAAAATACACATGATAATCATCAACGAATATTTTCAATAATTACCGTAAGCTTCTCTATGCACCGATCACCGTCGACATTGGCGACTCTTCCGCCGGTAAGTTGGACCGCCGGCGGGTCTGACTCATGCAATTCCGGCGATTCAACGGCGGACAAAGGCTTGAACGACGGCGAAGAAGAAGAAGAAGAAGAAGAAGAAGAAGAGAGCAAAGAATGCTGTCTGAGGCCGATGTAAGATAGGACTTGAGCCACGGAAGGCGTCCCTCGGATGATCTGAACGAAGATCCCAAAGAAGAAGGCGAACCAGTTCATCAGTGTCCTCCACACTTGCAGAGTCCTCGGCGCGTACGCTTCAGCTTGGGCAAGCTCGGCCATGGCGGCTGCTCACGGAGTGGACCGATGCTAATTTACAGCTAGAGTGCGCACGATTGTTAACCTGTCCTCCCCGAAACGGTCTCGTCAACTGTCAGATTAGCTCATCAACGTTCTTGGCTAAAGTGATGTATGAAAGGCAATCAAATTCTCATTCTCACTCTCTCTTCAAGACTCTGTCATTTTCTCTCTCTCTCTCTCTCTATATGATTGATGGTTTTTCTGTATAGGTGAGGGAATTGTGGTCAAGGGGCTGCCTCGACGAAGTCTAGAGAGAGAAATGGGAGGAGAGAGAAGAGTGTACGACTCTTTAAATATGAAAATTGTTTGTCGATTCTTGTACTAATGTTTTTAACAATTAATCATGGTAAAGAATTTTTTAGGACTTTCCGTTCACTGAGTTGTCTTTTTCGGTAAACTTCTTTCATTGAATTGTCCTTAGAAAATACATTTTGGGACTTATTGTAAATTTTGATTTATCACCCAATAAGTTTAATAATTTCTTGGGGGTGTTGAATTTTTTATTTTTTATTTTTAAATTATATTTCTAAAAAAAAATTAAAATTGTCTGACCGAAATTATAAAAAAAGTAATAGTAGTAAGATTGTCTACTTTTGAAATTCATTAATTGAGGAGGGTTAATTTTATTTCCATTGGAAAATTAACTATGATGAAGAGTTCTAACGTTGATAGGAGGATCAAATGCAATTGAACGTTTTGGGGTGCTCAGATTTGGATGAATTCGGATAAAACTGAATGGTTTGGAATATTAAAAGTTTGATCGAATTATTCTCAAATAGTTTTTCTCTCCATACATTCCGAAATAAAGATTTAACAATAAAAACATGTGGTACCATCATTTCTCTAATTACAAATTATGTTTTGGTTTCAAATACAATTTAATTTCAACAAAGTTGGTGATGTGGTTATTTCTAATCATTAGATACATAAGCTTGAAATTTGAAAATGTTTGTAAAGAAACATTATTGGAGATTTCCAATTTGGACATTTTGACAATTACTGTATTTACCAAGAAAAGGGGTTAACAAGAATTTATTGTACTTTTTTGGATTAACCTCCGACTAATCTTAGGACCGCATACTCGATCGATTCCATGATCACTAGCGGAATGTAAGTTAGATATATACACAGTAGAATGAATCAAACCCACACTTAATTGACCGAATACTATTTATTTAGGCATTGAAAACTCGTCCTATCATTCAAATTTGTGTACGAAAGAAATCAAACCGACACTCAATTGACTAAATACAATTCGTTTAGGCATCGAAACTCGTCCTATCATTCAAGTACGTTACTGGGATAGAGTTTACACTTTAATTGGTCGATAAAAGTGGAGATATTTGTTTGTCTAGTGTCAACCGTCAAGAAGTTTAGATTAGTTAGATGATCATGACCGCAGTGGAACCAGTCCCACAGTGAAAGGGGTTGATGCTATCTAAAATGAATGCGCCAATTAAGAAGGGACAATCTTTCCATCTTTGGAGTGTCTCATGTCCTTCATTTTCACCACATGGGTCCCCCACTTCTGCCAAATGCCTTTCAAGACAAAAATACCTCTAAAATATTTGTAGTACACTGTTGGGTAATTTTGTAAATATTTTTCTTTTCAATGTAATCTTAAAGTATACTATGAGCGAAATAAAATTTTCATGATTGTTTGGGAATCCAACTTTTTATAATTGTGAGATCTTAATATTTTTTTTATTATATTGATAAGAGTGAAATTTTAAATTTATTTTTATTAAAAAACAAAATAATATTTCGTAATTAGTGAACTTGTGTAGTTAAAAAAATAATTTGAAATTGTTATAAAAAACAGTACATTCATTTTTTGGAATAGGATATATGTTTTGGAACATTCTAAATTAAAAAAATGAACAAGATTTTGGGAGGAAACCAAAGAATTGGTGGCCTAGCGGTATCAGACCTTTACTTCCTAAAGGGAGGTCAATGGTTCAAATTTCAGTAGATGCCATGTGTGTATGAGCACTAATTATGGGAAGAAAAAAAAAAAAACAATATTTTGGGAGGGAGAGAGTATTTTCTTATGTTTCAAAACTAATGAGGCATAGATAAGTACTCTATTTTTTGTAATTTTACATTGACATGATTGTTTTTTTTTTTTTTTTGTAAAAATACTCTTATATTGTAGTCACTTTTTTGAACATTAATGATGTCATTTTCTTTATTAAAATGGTGGATTTGAATGTATACAAAAATGAAGTACAAGTATTATGTCATTTTCTTTATTAAAATGACTAAAATCAAGTATACAAAAGTAAAGTACAAGTATTACATTTGTGGAGCATACACCATAGTTTGGAGTTCAACATTTCACTTTTATCACATATGTGAAATAATATGACAAAAAGCAAGTTTTATTGACGAATTAGACTCTGAAATTGGTACTACGTGTTTTAGTTTTAGCCCAACATCTTATTCCTTGTGGGCCTAGAACTGATCAACAACCTACTTACTCTCAAATTACATCACAGGCCCAAGAACCCCAGAGGTTAGGTTCTGATGGACTCCATACCCACAAGGAAGCCCATATTGATAAAAAGCCTATAACGATAAAAATGTTTGATCTTTGAAACCCATGAAAAGTGGAATTAGGGTCCATTCACACAACGTCGGAGTGGGAGGAGTGAGGGAGCGCAAAAAAAGACAAAACCTAAGTCACAATGAGTAAGAGTGAGAGTCCGCGTTTAAAAAAACTGTGACTTAGGTCGATTTCATTTAACGCCTTGGAGGGAAGGAAAATGTGTGTTTTTTTCCTCCTAACTTTAGCAAGGCTAAATAAATTTCATTTTTTTCTTACATAATCAGAATAACAAGTCTATGGCTCAAATTAATCCAATCTCAATTATTGATTAGCTTAATCTAAGCTTGGATTTTTTTTTTCTTTCTTCGATTGAACAAGTTATGATTGATTCGCAAAGTTTCACACACCTAATTACGACTTATGAGGCATAGGCAATTTTGATGGCAGTGCAGTGATAAAATTTGAACTCTCTAAATATGAAAAAGTAAGCTCAAATATGAGAGTCGCTAAAAAAAGACTAAGTTTACACCGTAACAACTACAAGCATCCTCCTTCAAAATAGGTCATATCGATGAGGAAAATGATTATTACGCCCAGCATCTCAATCAAACTGTTGTGCCGACGGTATCCCCAGCACGGGATGCTTGTCAAGTGGGACTCACATGAGTCATATTTGATAGTTGGGATGCTATTGACCTAGCATTTCGGTTGAAATGTTGGGTATATCTATCATAACCGGGTGAGAAAAATGATTGTTAGGTTCAACATTCATTTGAAATACTGGGCTGAAATATGAGTCTCACTTGACGGTATTGAGCATCCCATAGCTTGGATGTTATCAACTTGAAATGTAGGCCTGGCCTGTCGATCATAACTCGATAAGAAAAATAATTATTAGTCTAACATGTCAACCGAAATGTTGGGCTAAATGCATCCCGGCCATGGAATGTAGTTAGCCCAACATTTTGGTCGAAAAATGCTGGTGGGTCTATCATAAAACTTTTCATGAAACAGGGTTTTTAAGTAGTACATGAACACAACAATTTTAGAGGTTGATTGACTTTCCAAAAAGAAATAATTTCATAAGCTGATTGATGAATATAAAGTATAACAAAAACATGGGCCAATTGATCGTTAATGGGCAGTTTGGGGTTGTTTCAGAGCTAAAATATGTATGTCAAGCTGAAGTTAGGAGCTTTTGAAATAGCTAAGAAAATAGTTACTGGATAAAGATGAATAATGATTTGTGATTGAAAAATGAAGATATAATTCTAGAAGAAAAAAGGAAGAAGAGAAGGTTTTGTCAAGTTTAGAAAAAGATAAGGTACAGAAAAAAATAAAAAATAAATGAAAAAAAGCATGAAGACATGAAATTTAGTATCAGAAAAATGGAATGGACTACTTTTTTTTTTTTTTTGTTTTTTGCTGGTTTGAGAGACGAGACTCCAAGAGATCCTTTATCTACTGGTAAACATAATAGAAAAAAATGAAATAATAACATTAGTTATAAAAGCAAAGAAATAAAATGATAGAAATATACCCTTTTTTTAATGTTTGGATAAATTATGAAGGAAAAAAAGAAAAAAAAATGATAGTATTATTGTTTGGAAAAGATGGAGGAGAGAAAAGAAAAAAAATGATAACACCTAAATTATTATCACAACCCTTTTATATAATGTTATAAAGATATGAGTCAAATGTTATAAGTGTTGGGAAACGTGCTAGTTTTAAAAACTTTTCGAGAGATTTTAATTCATAAATCTTGATTCAATACATAGAGACAAGTTTTATGCAAAAATAAAATATGATGTATCATCCAATTAAAAGATTGAATACTTACATCATGATTTGAGTAAACCTTAAATCTCTCCTCTAAAGTGAATGTTCTCACTTATTATAGATCCCTTTTGCTAGACACCTTTTCCATGGATCTCCATCTTCTTGGTAATGGTCTTGCCTTTAGGAATCACTCATAAGCCTCCATGAATGACCTTGAAAAACTAGGCTTGTGGGAGCCTCCATTAGATGAGAACGCTAACCCTAATTTTCTAGAGAGAGAAAATTTATTCATTTTTCTTTCTCATAAAAATCACCCCTAAAATATACATAGGCCATGTATATTTATAGGTGTAATACCCCACATTTCCACGTGTAGGCTGGCCAGGCCCACACCCGAAAACATGGGAATATCAAAACAATATAGTACTTAAACGAACACAGAATATAAAAAGTGATTAAATCGCTGAATGGAATTCTATTAATAAAATTAAATCTCTTTTACAAAAATATTTCCATGAGTTTCAAATTCTGAAAATATTATACAACTCGGGAATCCCATAAGTTAAGGACCCCTAAACCAAAATCTTATAAACCACCAGTTTATACAAAACATTTAACAATAATTAACTATACTAATTAAAGGTAAACAAGATGAGTAGATGAATGACAGTCTCCCAGCTGCGGATCCTCAACCTCGAGACTGGAACTTCTAACAACCTGAAAAATAAATCGTGGGTTAGACCCACGAGCAAGTTCCCTCTACCAAGCCTCTGAAAACCAATAAATAAAGCATCTCTAACCAAAATCATCCTAATTAAAATTTTAACCTTTAATATAAGATGATACAAATTTATATAAATAATTATATATAAATACAATAATCCTACCCATTAATAGGTTCACTAAATTTGTTGAAACCAATCACCAACGATTAATTATCAATCATACCTAGACCAAAT